CATTTTCCATTCCAGACTCTTAATGAATCTTTACCGAAGTGCCATAGGCCAAAATGTCAACTTTAGACGCAATATATGCCATATCCCAACAAGGCAGATTTCAGTGAAATTTACGAAGCAGGTCCATGCTCCAAAGAGGATGAACCCTTAGAACGTCTGACATTCAATAAGCTTTACTGTAGTGTTATGGGCCAGAATGTCAACTTTGGACACAAGATTTCGCATAATCTAATTTATGGACAGCCATAAAATTTGCCGTCCACATTCAGCCTCCCCAGAGAATGAACTTCCGTTTTAGACAATTATTGAGTCTTTACTGTAGTGCCAGAGGCTAGAATGTCAACTTGGGACACAATATATCTCATACTCAGGAAACAGGAAACATTTCCATTAAATTTACTGCTGCATGCTCCGAAGAGGATAAACTCTTTTGATTTTGATAACAGTGTAGCCTTTTCTCCAACACCCTCTAGGCAAAGGCTGCATGGATGCTGACTCTAAGAATAGCCAAATAATTATGTTGTTTGTTTGGCTCTCTCGGGTGTAATGAACGCTGTAGCCTCTCGAGAACACTAGCGGGGGCTTTGATGCTAAGACACAGAAGAGTCCAGTTTCAGTAACATTAATGTCAGCCAGAAAAGGTGAGTCCACTCCAAAGCTAATCACTGAGTGATCTGACTTTAGGTGGAGTTTCCCTTCACCACTTCCCTGCATGATACATTGTGTCAGATCGCTCATTGGGCCTTTCATGAGCTGCTTTGAGAACCATCGTCCTATGTCTATTTCCCATCCCTCACAAATCCCAGCGTTTGCTGAGGAAATATTTGAGAAGTGTCCGTTACCGAAGCTGTTACGAAAGTCTGAGAGGGCAGCTGGCCAGGGAGATGATGACTGTGGATAGCAACCGGGGAGGTTTGCTGAGAGCTGGAACAGGCAAAGCTCAGGACAAACAAAAGCCTGTGTCACTACTTTTATAGTGAGCGGAGGGTAAACACATTTCATAATCAAATGCGCACTTGCCCAACCTACGCGGACACTGACTCATTTTTACTGCATGTTTGCATTTGTTTGTGGTGGCAGGGATCCTGCATTCGACAGCAGTACAGAAGAAGGTGATCGCTCATTAGTTTCTTTGTTTCTGTCTCACTCTTTTATCTGTCTGTGGTTTTCCTGCCCCGTGTGTCTCTCTCTCTCTCTCTCTCTCTCTCTCTCTCTCTCTCTCTCTCTCTGCAGCGGTGTAATGTCTGCAGCTCTCGCCCTCCGCTGCCGCCTGCGTCACTTCCCTTCCTGGTCGACTGTCATGTAAACACGAGCACACCCCTGCTCACAGGCGCGCTCTCGCATACAAGCTCAAACACACACACTCGCACAAAAACACACATACACCCAGTCACATGGGAGCTGCTAATTATGACCACATAAACCCAGCGGAAATGCAACTTTCACAGCTGGCTGTTTGAGCTACGCTCACATTGAAGCACATAATTCACAGACAAAAAAAAAAAAGAAAACGCACCATTTACTTCAATTATTCAGCAAACGCACACGAGAGGGAAAGAAAAAGTAATGGGCTCATTTCTCAGATTAGCCTCCGATGCTGGGCTACAAATAGCAAAGGTTTTTCTGTAGCAACGCTGGTGAAGAGGAAGGACAGAGGATGATGGAGGGAGGAAGCTGCATAAATTGGGAAGAAAAAGGGAAGAATTGGTTTGAGCGCCCGGCCATTTGAAGCAAACACCACATGCTCATTTATATCTGAGTGAAACAGACCTATTTGTTGAGACAAGGCGAGCATAAACATCTGACAGACGTCATGCATAGTCTGTGACGCAGATGGTAAAGTCTGTCTTCGGTAAGCACATGCATGCACACACACAAAAACAGATAAACAGGAACACACACAAGCAGGCAGGCCATGTTAGACTCCCCTGACACACTCCAGCCATTTCAAGCATGTCACTAATCTGAGGGTCAGGCTCATTGGTGGAATTCTGTGCATATAGGTTTGCCAAGTAATGCTCTCAAGGTTGGAAATAACAGCTTAGAGCTCCGAAAAGTTCGCTTCAAAAGGCTGATGGATTTGTTCTCGGCTAATAAGGCCAAACACGGCAGGATTAATGCTGGTTAATGGTTAATGCTGCGGGATTATTGCAAATTTCATTATCATGCAAGTGCTGGAGGACAGCAAAGCTCGTGTTCTGCCCCTGTTTGTACTTGTCAGGGCACAGTTGTTGATTTGTTTACCAGGGAGTGTGAGATAATTCCTTGATTCAGAGGAAATGCATTCGATTGGTTGGATGGTAAAAAAAAAAAAGGGACGCAGGGGTGGAAGTGTGAATTCACCTTCGGGTTTCTACCGAAGCAGGAACCAGTTCAACACGATAAAAGTTCAAGTACTGACGCAGTTTAATCAGCTCTCTGAACCGACTCTTTCTTGGTATAATTCATACTGAGAAAACACTGCTTCATAATGCACTACAGAGTCACTGTTTGGCTGTTACATAATGTCTGTCCTAGATTCTAAAGCTCATACCACATATCTCACTGTACAGAAATGCATTCAATTTAATGCACACAATCCCCTCAACGCTATGCAAGCAGTAACAGGAAGTGGGGAAACTGCTGACTGTTCATAACGGGCCCAAACCTTTACAATTATAAGATGATAGAGAGTAATTCAATATCGAATGGGGTTCTTGACAGGCTCAAAAGTGCCTCGACAGAAACAGCTGTGTGTCCATTCTGTTTCTCTCAGGGCTGCAGCAAATTATTATTTTCAATATCGAGTCATTTAGTGAAGATTTTACAATAAATTAAAGCTGCTCTGGCTAATATTTTTATATTAAAGATAATGTAAGCAATATTTGTTTTGTTAAAATAAGTGTTAATTAGCTCTACATTGGGTATGAGCCAGTACACCATTATCTGTCTTTGCATCTGTTCAACCAACTAAATTACCTGTATTCATATCTTCGGAATGGGCGGGGCTTAAATCCAAAGCCGGTGGTGCCTAAACCCCAAAGTTGTTAATTTAAGCATGACATGGATATTTACAAAATTTAACTTTGATTTTATTGTTTGATCACAAGATAAGATACTGTAGAAGCTAAAACTAGACACAGTTTGACATTTTAGTTTGATAAATGACTTAAATGATTAACTGATTAACAAAATTGTTGTCAGTTTTCTGTCAATAATCTAATTGATTAATTGGCTAACCTAATTGATTCAGCCCTACAGCAGTGGTTTAATATGGAATAGTTAGTGTTTTTGTGTGGTAGGCTTAAATACTGCTAAAAGCTTCACAACCGCATCCAGGGGCATACCTAGAGGGGTGGCAATGATTTTTTTTTTTTTTTATAGGTGACAGCTCTAAAAACAATTTGATCAGAGACAAAAAGAGATGTTTTTGAAAAAATGTCTGAAGATTTAGAAATAATCAACTTTAATGCCACCTCTAGATATTTTTTTTTTAAGTTCAAGTATCTTTTGAGTTCAAATATCTTAATTTGGGGGCAAATATTGACATATGTGATCAAATCAATAAGCGTATCTGTATTTCTGCCACCTTTTTAAAGTCTTCATGCCACCCTCTGGGCCCCCCATGAATATTTCTCTAGATCCGCCCCTGCATCTGTGTCGTACTGCCTTAAGATCAGCCGAGGAAGGATGACGAAGATCAATTAGATCCTCACATGATGAAGATGATTCAAAGGTGGACTGTTGTATAAAGTTGAATGTTGAGATGAGGGTAAATGATGATGTGTCAACAAGGCAAACAATGACAAGCAAAAAAAATATCCTCCTACCATCATATATACTCATACATAAGCTGGCCATTAATGTCATAAAGAAGCCATTTTCTCAAGCTGAGTTTAATGGTTTCCTCTCTCAATACTCTCCTGCTGATAAGTCAGATTTGTAGGCATCTGCCAAGCTTTTACATCAACTAGTGCTTCCTCCAGTTGGCCCAGTCTGGGAGTCAGCGTCTGCTGCTGGTAAGCATCTCCGGAAAAGCCACTTGCATTAACACAGTGAATTATTTCCCCTCACTGCTTGAGACTCAGACTGCAGCCAAAATTAGAGGCTGTTTGACTCTCTGTGTCATATCCACACAGATGTGACTGCCCTGTTATGAATCAGCAAAATGTTGATTGTTGTGTGTGTGTGTCTGCGTTTGTGTGTGTGTGTGTTTGCGCAATAGCCGGAGCAGCAGGCAGGTGGTTTTCTTGTTTTCCTCTGTATTGAAATATTGAAGGGCTGACGGCACCTCACAGGCACGTTTCCAAACATCCCTCAGGAAAATTGGATGGCTTTCTTATACAAACAGGGCCGCTGCTTAAAAGCTACATAAATTATGTTCACAGCCAGAAAACTGCCATAGTCACATTTAACACTCAGTCTATAAACATTTAATCAGACTTTACAGCATCACTGCCCATTAGTTAGGGGACTGATTAACAATAAAACAATACTTTATTATTAAACTTGTTTATGAGTGAGTCTCTCAGACTTGCTCATTGTGATTAATCTGGAAAACTTACAGTAATTGTCACACAAAATCATCAATAACTTCACTTGTTCTTGAAATGGACACAGAGCTTCAGGGCTGGGCTTGTGAAAGAGGGGCGGGATGTTTCCAGTCGAGCCCGGAGCGCCGTGCTGAACCTCAAAACACTGTTTCAGTCTCCGGCGCGAGGCCTGATTCCCACTTGTTTACTTCAACTCCAATTTCTATGTGCGCAACACCACCTGGAATGCGGACACTGGCGTACACAGTGTTCGAGAAAACGCACATGGCACATGATCAGAAATCCCCCCTGCAGGAATGTTGCGCTTTCTCCAACGAACACACTTTCCCCAAAAGCCGAGAGATGCGGGTCCTCGCACTATAATATAGCACACTTAACCGGCCACAATACAAGCGCGCAAACGCACCTGCGGCAGCGGCACAGAGCCGATCCCGCATCAGCTGAGCTATTACAAATAACTTCACTCACGCTGAAAGGCGCTCCGCTTCTGCTCCGGGACCGAGGCGATTTTTCCTCCTCTTTCAAAGTGCGTGTCATAGCTGGCAGGTGCAACTGCGAATAGAGAGGTCCCGTCCGATCAGGCGCAGTGAGTCCGGCTCGGCCAGGATCGGCTCGGCTCGGCCCCGCTGGCTGCTGGCTGTCGGCAGATGATTGCGTAGCTACATTTCTGCCCCTTCTCCATCTGCCCAGAGCTCAGCGCACTCTGCCTCTCTGTTCCTGCCTTTTCATTATATCATGTCCATGTGACACGCTCGGGCCTCTGTCAATGGAAACTTAAAGGGACCTCCCACGTGATGGCGCTTCGTGCGCGCTCTCGGCGGCCGGAGCGCGTCCCGGAGAAATAAGATGCTGCGCCCCTAATAAAACTACACCAGCGGGCCGTGAACACTTCAGACTGCTTCTACCGGAATGATGATGACTGCTGTGATGATGAAGAGGATGGGGATAGTTGTTGTAATAGTGATAGAGATAGAGATAACTGTCAGTGCTCATGATGATGATTATGGTGAAGATAACCGTTAGTAGCTGTTATGATGATGATGATGATGATGATGATGATGATGATGAAGATAACTGTTATGATGGTGATAAAGATGATGATGATGATAATGATGACGACAAAGAGGATGAGGATAGTTGTGATGATGATAAAGATAACTCTTAGTGGATGTGAGGATGATGAAGATGATATTAGTGGTGGTACTGGTGTTAATGATAGTGATGAAGATGAGGCTGAGGATGCCTCTTTTTCTTGCTTTCTAAATGAGGTCATGCTGTGTGTGACATCATCACCAGCACAGGGTGACTAACATTGTGGGGAAACAGCTGATCTCATATCAGAGACAGTGAGTCAGAGGGACAAGAGGCTGCTCAGATTAGCCTGCCTTCAGTTAACACAGCACAGTAAACAAAGTCTCACCGCACTCTGTATCTGGATTCAAGGTGTTAGTGGAGTTTTCCTTGCTGACTCTTTCTTCTTGTTTACATTCACACCTTCTCCTCCAGAAGATGTCCTCTGTGTCCATGAGGCCTAACAGATATGCATATTACATTTCCTGCCTCATAAAAAAAACATTGATTACTGCTTTTAAAGCTATTTAATACTTTGGAAAACACTAAGGAGTGAAACTAAATTAGTCCTGAACAAGGCTAAAAGTCACACTAAAGGGCTTATGTAAACATCACTATACACCAGAGAGTTAATACCTTCTATTGGATATTAAAGCAACATTATGTAACATTTGGTATTTGTGCAATTTGACGCTCCCAGTTGCAATACCATTGTGGTAACTATGGACAGCTTTACATGATCAAAAACTAGTGAGAAAACTTTGCGAACAGAGCCAACATGAAGCAAGTGCAGCTCTAATATCACTGACTAGTCCAACAGCGAGAAGGCCAGCTCGCAGACTGTCTGCAGCTTTTTATTTCACCAAGCTCTCACCAACGCCTAAAGCCAGTCCCACATTTACTCTTGTCCAGTGGTTTCTCTCTCCTTCTCTGTACTTAGCTTCCTTTATCATCCTTTAGGTCGCCTCTGCTGTAAGCTAATGTCCATAGAAGCTGCTGAGCCCGGCTGGTTAATGCTGACCACTCTCCCCGCTCCGGTTCGGGCACAACAAGCGCCACTTTCTGTGTGTTAAACTCTGCACATCCTTCATTCTGCACAGTGAAGATCAAACATCACACCATTGACTGGAGGGTGACTCTAAAGATCAGTACAGTATGAACATATCTAATCTCAGTTTAAAAATACAATAAAACAATGTTCAGTTTGACATTATAGCATGTTTGCCCGTGTCAATAGTAAAACCATTCTGTATTGTCAGTGGCTGCGTTTGCATCCACACAAATGAAAGTTGACCAGTGGCCTTCCATTTGCAGTAAGTGGGAGAAAAGCTCTGCCGAGCACTGGACAACGTGCACTTAGAGGAGACACCATTATCATTCACTTCACGTCACCAAGCCTGGAAGAGCTCTACTTGCAGATGATTCATCAAAAACTAACACTTTCCCTAGAATTTTACAAAAATATCCAATCCAAAGTCAGGCGGAAGTAGGGCTGGGCGATATATTGATATAAAAAATATATCGATATATTTTTAAATGTGATGGGGAATTTGCATATATCCATATAGTTCAAATTTGCGCTGTGAGCCTTGCTCCAAGGGGGTCATCCCTATGTTCCCCGCTAAGGTTAGGGTTAGGGTTCCCTGGTCCCATACAAAGCGGGGAACATAGAACCCGGGGAACATAGGTACTGCACTGCTCCCCGCGCCCCCGCCACCCCCTCCTCTTTCAATAACCTAACGTAATGTTTGTGTTCATATCCATAATTTAGACTGTAACGTTGTCAGACTGTTAGCTAACTGCTGAGTAATTCACTGATGTTACAGGTAACTTAACGTGCTAACGTTAGCTAACGTAACGTTGGCTAACGTTAGCTCGGCATGATTCATGTTAGCAAAACACAACGTTAATATTGAGTGTGGTTTTAGTCGGGATGGGTTGTTCTGTTTACAGGCAGCAAATCTTTATCATACCATTAACGTTATGTTACTAACGTTACAGACACGTTGCTGAGTCAACCTAATGTACAGCTCAGTAACAGCGTTAACTTACGTTACGTTGTTTTAACGTCATTGTTCTTGCTTGTGTAATAACGGTAGCAGTTTTGGTGAGTGGTAACAGCCTTACTGCCTTCTGAAAATTAATTTAAAAGTTATAATGCAGCCTAACTTCTGGTCACAACGTGTGTGAGAGACAGAGAGAGAGAGACTGAACATTTGCTCTCCCTTTGCGGAAAAAATATCGGGATACATATCGTATATCGATATTCAGCCTAAATATATCGGGATATGACTTTTGGTCCATATGGCCCAGCCCTAGGCTGAAGCATGCTGGGCTGCAACAGGCTGACACTGTGCCTCTTTCCACACTCCGTCCTCTGGGTGCCTTCGCTACTAATCTCTGTTTTAACAAGTCATTTAAAGTGCTGTTATGTCCCCAAACCATCATTTTCACAGTTGTCTTGAATCCTGTTGCTTCCAATACAAATCACTTTGTGTTATCTTACAGCAAACTGCCTAACTGGCTTACAATCATTTGTAGATGATGCCTGAAATAAGAGAAACTGCAATTCTTTCACTGTAATCCGATTATTATTTTTAGCTCAGAAGAATTGTTGAAACGGATTACATCAAAAATGTTAAATAGCACAAAGTAAGTTAGTACTTTTTACCCTGTATTGTGTTTTCACAGCTCAAATAAAAATGACAAAATTAAGTCAGTGTCACTTACAATTACTAAAGCTACTTGATCAAGTTTTTTTAACTTACAAAATTGAGTTTATTTTACTTAAAACTTTTGATGTGATCAGTTTCAACAATTTTTAAGTTAAATTAACTTATCTGGTTTCACAGGTTTTATATTCATATTTAAATCATTTATGAAAGCTTAATGTTACTTAAAATATGTCAACAATAAAGATACAAACTGACAGAAACACAAACATACAGTAAATAATGTAGTCAATGAAATTCTATCATGAACACTGCTTGACTTGATTTTCTCCTCAGTGTGATGGAGGGTCCTGCTGGCAGTCAGGACCGTGTGAACATACCAGAGGTCCAGGGGTCTCTGGGGCTCGCGGACCCCCTGTGGTTTGAATTAGAGCGGATTACAACTCTCACCAACAAAAGACACCTCTCCACTTCCCCCCGCCTACTTTTCTGTGCTATCTGCTCCTCTGACCGAGTGACACTGCCAACTAAATGTGGCTCCATTTGTGCTGCCAGCCCACTGAGAGGCTATAAAACAGACATCCATTGCACGTTTCTACATTATACAAACAGGATATAGGTTATCTGAAACACGTTTTAAGGAGCTTATCTTGTAAACAAAATGTCAGATATGACAGATGCCCAGCTTTCGATCGTATCCCGCCATCTTCCTTAAGCGATGGAGATCATGTGATACAATGGAAAGCTCTAGAACAGCTATTAAATGGACCTTGTGTTGAGATTGTTTTATCAAATACTGTTTCCAAGTTTAACAATCTTTCTTAACTTAATTTATGATATTAAAGATATAATATGTAACATTTCTGCATTAAAGCTGCAGTAGGAAACTTTTATAACAATTACTTTTTGTCATATTTACTGAAACTTTCCCTATATCCTGACAGTAGTACATGAGACAGATAATCTGTGAAAGAATCAGGTTCTTCTGGCTCGTCTTAGTGCTCCTAATGGCATTTGCAAGAATCCACTGTAATTGTAATTTTTTGTGTTTGTTGACAATCAATTATTTGATAGATTATTAACTGTTGAGTACTTCAGGGATCATTGTTCATAATTGAATGTTATATTACTCAGTTCCCCAACAAAATGCACTTTTCTCTTGCCAGACCATCATTATATATAAAAATTAATTAGATTATATGATTCGAAAATAAATACTGCAGCTTTATCTGAAAATAAGGAGGTTATAATGAGAGTGGTTAAAAACATATATAAATATTAATCAAAGCTTGAATGCCACAATTTAAATATATGCCTTTCCCACCAACAGGGAACTGTCTTTGTCCAGTTCAAGCACCTAGTATTGAACCGTTCGGAGCATTTTGACCAAAAATAAAGTTCCCAACTGGAACCAAAAAACAGCAGGTTTTCCTTGGGAACCAAAGTGGGCGTGTCATATTTCACAGGTCGTTGTGCATTGTGCAGCTGTGGATGATGCAGTCGATTACTACAGTTCCTCTCAAAGCTGGTGGAAAAGGGGGTCGTACAGCAAATAAAATATGGAGGGGATTTAATTCAACATAAAACTCTTTACATTCATATACTGCCAATTAAGGGGGCTGAGCATCCCTCCGAGGGATGGTGGGGGTTGAGGGATGCAAGAAGATTTAATTTTTGCATTTACCAGTACAATGGGTTTCCATAAAAAAGGTCCAGTTAACTGGAAACTACGTTCATATTACTCACCGCATGATTCATCCACCCTGTAAGCTCTCAGTGACTCCACATGTAGTAAAGCTCTGAGATCACCCAGAGAGGTGCTTTTAAAAGAAGGGCCACTTTAAGAAAGGAACCACTGTAATGATAAACAGTCCAATAATAACGGTACATAATGATTTATTAATTTACACTAAGACAAGACACGACAGGACTAAACAAGACAGGGCTTGATAGGTTACAATAGAACATGACAGGACAAGAATAAACTAAACAAGGCAAGACAGGGCTTGACAGGACATGTTAGGACACTTTAATTCCTGAGGTGAACTGTCACAGGGCAGCAGCACAGGTCCGTAGACACTGCAAAAAGGCAGATATAAAAGAAAAGAGCAAAGTGTGCACACTGTTAATAGTACAGATAGTAGGGATCAAACAGAAGCACACCCTATATATCTATACCTGTGAGAAAATGTACAAATTTAAAAGTAGCTGTAAGCAATATTCTTTTGTTAAAATAAGTGTTAAATAGCTCTACATTCTGACAGCTGTCACTGATATAGAGTGTTCAGTCAGTAACAAAGGTCTCCCAGTCCCTCCTTTCTGCAGTAAACAGAGAATACATTTTCTGGTATACTGTTCCCACTTCATTCAATCAGGAGAGAGAACTCCACAAAGAGGCGGTCCTCAAGGGCAGGCAGCATCTACAGACACTTATTAAGTACTGTTTTCACTTTTTCACATAAATCCTTTCAGTATTTTCTTCCTTCAGTAATAATTAGTTCCCAATAACTGTCCACCAAGACCGGAATACCACCAGGCTGGGTGTGCAACTACCCCAGAATCCTTCACCCACCCCCCTCAGGACCAATTTGTAATAATGGGAATATGCACCATTAAAGCTAATCAAAATTGACACAATAGGAGCTCTCGTTTATTACCTGATCTTGAAATCCTGCCTTGAAGAGAGTCAAGATCAGCATATTTTTAGTTTACAAGGCTGGGTGTTAATCTGGCCATGTCATAGTGAGGTCTGTGGATGGTGCTATATCTGGACTTTGTACGTGGAAAGAGACATTCTATCCAATGAATTTGCATACGTAGTATAGGAAGAAATATGGTTGTATTATTATTATTATTATTATTATTATTATAATTATTGAATTATTTGAGTGAACTGCCCATTAAAGTACAGTTGGAATAGAACTTGAAGACATGAACAAATATGATAATGTGAACACTTGATGTTTATTATTATGGGTAAGTGAAATCTGGCTGGGCATTCTTACATACTCTCTAGTTTCTTTGTGCAAACACAACAAGGTGTACTGTCTCTTTAAGGGCTGTCACTGCTCGCTCCTGCTAACCTCCCGCTGCTTGTTATTTTCTGCAACAAGATGGCTGTCGTTCCTGAGAGCAGAGTCCTCACTTTCAGCGTTTTTAAATGGAGCTCTTACTCCTCTACATATTTACCTGAGTGAGTAACGCACACGTTACGTGGCCCGGCGTATGCATTAGGTTTTGTGGTTACAGGTGGTCTTTTGTCGCCTCAGCCCACCACTGCTTCTCCCAGCCGGCCCGACTGGCCTTGCTGGTCTGCGATCTGCTCTGCCCGGGCTGCTAGCGTTAGCTTTGTCAGAGGCGATAGGGGCGTTTGATTTTTACACTCGGCCGCCCGTTAGGGATGATGCTAATGATATCCTGGAGCGTTTATGGAAAACAGTAGTTTGTCAACAGGGCTGCATGTTCGATAAGACGATATTTAGGTATACTTTCGGAACTTGTAGTTATTGACCAGTGTTGTTTAGATCCATTAACAGAGAGGAGTTTGTCTCTTGTGCACTGATGCTCCTTTTTAGCTGCTTTGCATGTACAACTTATATTTTCTTCTTTTGAGAAGACACTGTTTTGGACTAAAAGCCCTCAATACTTATTAATGACAGCAGTTAAGCAAATGATTTGCAACATCGGGCTCATATGTTGTCCCAGCAGTATGTTGTGTGCAGTCCGGTACACTGGTGTCTGAGAAACGAACGCTCCCGTTAGCTAACTGGACTCCAGGGCTAAAGCGCTAGCTGCTGTTATCTAACCAAAGAGCTCTGCTTTAGCAACGATGGCTAATCAGCTTGTTCACCGCCTACTTAAAGCTGGTGTAATGAAACTAACTGCCACACTTTACGGTTGGCACACACGAACAAACCCTCCTAAATGTTATCCTTTGTATGTGAATTCACTCAGCGTTATGGTTTTAGAGCAATCGCCCGCAGAGACTGTTTAGCTGCTTAATGTTAGCTAGTGAGCTAGCTGACCACAACAGTCTGCTGGTTTATACTAACGTTAATAAATGAACCCGTTGCACCTGCTGGCACATTCTAGCTGTAGCATTGTTGTATTATTCCTTTACAGCTAGTCTATACACAGAAACACACACAGCCCTGTTTACTCTGCGCTGTAGTGAAGTGGGTTCCTGTGGCATAACTTTGATGTAAGTTAATGTTGTGGCTCCAGTCTCTTGCTGCTGTGAAACCCCGCAGGGATAAATGAACTCTACCTTTCTTTCTCTCTCTCACTCTCTCTCTCTCTCTCTCTCTCTCTCTCTCTCTCTCTCTGTGTCGTGTGTGTGTGTGTGTGTGTGTGTGTGTGTTCCTCTAGGAATATCTTGGTGGACAAACCTAACGATCAGTCTTCCAGGTGGTCTTCTGAGAGCAACTACCCTCCACAGGTAGGTCTCCTGCTGTGTACAGCAACTGCCTCTTCACTTCACCCCACTGTTCCAGACAGAGCTCCACATGAGAGCTGATGATGGGTGTTCAGGACAGATTGTGAAGTTCAGGAAGGCGTGTGGTTGGTTTGTTTGTTTGTTTACACCATGTTGTTATCACCATTCTTTTAGTTACTGTCAGTTCTAATACTGCGTATTGGCAAGACTCTTTCGACACGATATGTATCAGTAGATCAGAACTGTGGGAACTGCATTTGTGTTTATCTGTGTAACATCCAACATCCTAGCCCTCACACTGGGTTCAATACAGTGTTTTTTTAAAATAACATATCACAAAATAAAATATCGATATTCTTTTATATTTTCTTCTATTTTTCTGGTTTCTTTGAAATAAGACAAGATAGACTTTATTGATTCCACAGTAGGGAAATTTGTTTGCCACAGCAGCTCCTGTTACAACACCGTAAATTAGAAAACACGCATTAAATAAGATGATAATAGAATAGGGAAAAAAATACAACATATAATAGAAAAATAAGAATAAGTGGTATAAATATGTACACTATATACAGATGTGATCAATATGGAACATTGCACAGGTCACAGCAGGAGGTAGTGGCACAGTGTAGAAATAAATATAATTGCACAGGACAAAAAAAAAAAAAATATATATAATATATATATATATATATATATACAGCAGTGTAATTTAAAGGTAATCTAGGCTATAAATATATGGCTAGGAATATACAGGACGGGCTTAATCTGAATGTGCGTCTCAAAAGTCATAGATGTATAATTGATCTTTGACAAGCTCCTTTTGGCTGTAGCCAATCACATGTTCACATTTGATCACAGAAACAAACTGTATAGCAACCGTGATCAGAGCCCAACAACCGCATGCTACAGTGTGGCGGTTACCTTGGTGATGTAAGAGGAAAAGGTTTTAGTGATAACATTATTTATCTTAATTTATAATTTTTTAATAAGAAATTCATGAAATGCTCTTTAAGTTGGCTGAGAACTGATTAAGAAGTTCCCTGACTGGCAGTGAGGCTTTGTGCTTTGAGTGCCCACCCAGCAGTATGCAGGTGTGAAGTGCATTCTTCATACAGTGAAGAAGTTGCTGTCTCTCATTGCGTCTGTTGAACTCAGTGACCGACTGAAGCAACACTGTGGCAGGTAGAGTCTGAGGTTAAATCTGAAAGTTTGTGTTGTATGGTAAGAGGAAGTGAAGCCTTTCAAAACAATGGTTAACCGCTCGCCGGTCTCACTATGTTTATGTCTAGTAACACAGCTGGGTGCTACAGTAAGGCTAACAACACGAGAAAGAAGCAACAAATAAACATAATGTGAATGTTTTGTTAGGCAGCATTCTCAGTAGAATATAATTTATTATATAAGTTCTAATTTTGTTTGAAAACTCAAGCTCAGTCACATTGGCAACATTTAGCCATTTAATTAAAGTTGATTAATTTCTCAGTTGCAGTTTGAGCAATGTTGGTATGAGAGCTGAAATGATTAGTTGAATAACTAGTCGATCAACATCAAATTGGTAAACTGGTAATTAATCGTTTGAGGGATGCCAAATGTTCCCTAGTTCCAGCTTCTCACTTATATGAATTGGCTGCATTTCCTGATCTTTTCTCATAGTAAACAGACTATCTCTGGATTTTGGACTTTTAGTTTGCCAAAATAAGCAGTTTGAAGACGTCACATGGGGTTTTGGTGGACAATTTTCACTGTTTTCTGTAGGGCTGCACAATTAATTTAAATATAATCAAAATTGCAATATGGAAATCACAGAGGCTTTACTTTTTTGATGAAGGTAAAATGTGACAAACAGCATTATAATGAAGCACTGTAGTGCTGCAGAAATGCTCTACCCTACAAATCCTGTTCTCCAGATGTAAGAAATCCTGTTTGTTTGGTACAGACCCCAAAACATTACACATCATGATTTTAATATTCTTTTCAGTGAAAGTTTAATTTGTGATGCAAATATGATCATCCCCACACTAATTCTGATCATATCACAATATCTGTTTTTGCAATGTGATGTTTTTACCATTTGGTGCAGCCCTATGTTTTCTGACTTTTCATAGACCCAAAGATTGATCAATTAATCAAAACAGCAAAAAAAAAAAGTTATTCAGATAGTTTATGATATCTTGGAGTGTTTCTTAATGGCACTGAAGAAGAATAAAAACAGCATAGCACTTTAAAAAAATCAACTTGATAATCTAAAATGACAAATGTGTGAAAAGTGCAGTGTTTCTGCTGGCGTCGTTTTGCCATGACACAATATTTACCGCCACAGCAAAAAGAAAAAAAAAAATACCCTAAAAACGTTTGCTCTCTCAATCAATTGATGGTTTGTCATAATTCCTGGTTGTCTGAGGTGCTGCAGCCCCCTCAGTACCCTTACTTCCCATATCCAGTATGCGCATAAATGTCTGCATTGTTTTTAACTACTGTATTGCTTTAAGATGACTTTTAAAATGCTCTTTTAATACAATTTGTTTCTTAAACCCCTGTTAAAAACTGAATCTCTGAGTGCCAGGTCCAAAGACACTATAGACTTTACTAAGAGAGGGGACTTTGGTGAAGTTCACTTAAGATCAGTATCTGAAGTGGAAGGAGGCTGAGGCTGAGGTGGGGCATCTAGGAAAGAACTAGTTGTAATTGATCTCTGCAAAAACATGTTCACACAAAGTAAATACAGTCATAATTTATGAAAACAGCTCATATCATGTTGTTAATAGGGAAACTCCCAATGTTGGCACGTGTTATTCATATCAAACCAGAACAGTAATACACATAGACTATTTCACACGGCCACTGCTGGACTCGTTTAAATCAAATAGATAGTTTGTTCCTCCTCCATCAACCATTGAAAGCAGTGATTATATACAATAAAATACAACAATAGAATAAAATAGTGAGGTAGAAAAGATAAAAAAGGAGGATCGGGCTGTATTAACACATTCTGACTCAGGACTAACTGGGCCGAAAGAACAAGATCAGTGCCTGACAGGAGAGTCAAAGTCACTAGAACCGCTTTTATGTTTTAGTGATGATAAAGGTTGAAATTCATGTGGAAAGCCTCATGAATGACATCACTGTTTTCTAAAGGTTTCATCCCAGATCAATATTGATAAAGGCTGAGGCCATGGATTGATAGAATATCTTTTATGAGTGGGTGTGAGAGCTTTGGTCCCTGGGGTCTGTTAAATGCCTGCTTTCCAGTGGCACATTTAATCAATGTTCCGCCCTGTGGTCTCCCACTTGTTCTGGCCTAATGGCCACCGGCGATTTGTCATTACATGTCCCGGATTGTTAGAGCACCCCTGACATGTGGATGCGGCTCATAGATTGTATGTAATGCCACTTACCTGACGCTGTAGATTGACCCTGCTGTGGTCATTTAGATAATGAGCAAATCTCTTCACAGTGGCCGGCCCTGCCGGAAGCACAGGCAATTTCCTGCAGTCTTCCACACACACTAATGTGTTTCTCTCCCTCTCTTTCTTCAGTTTTTAATCTTGAAATTGGAAAGGCCGGCGATTGTTCAGAGCATCACCTTTGGGAAGTATGAGAAGACTCACGTCTGCAACCTGAAGAAGTTTAAAGTGTTTGGTGGGATGAGTGAAGAGAACATGACAGAGCTTTTGTCCAGGTGAGATGTGGCTGCTTATACCAGTCCAACAGTTTAGTTTCAGTGATTATTGAATTTTCAGCAGTGTGAACTTGGAGTGCCATTTGCAGCATTCCTTGTTATTTTGTGAGAGAAATGGGGATTGTTTGTAGCTTGTTGGGGTTAAGCACAGCCTGGCAGTAAGGCCTGCCTTAGAAGATCACTTAAGGGGAAGTACTGTCCCACTGGCAATAAAGTATCTGCAAGCAAGCTGGATTATTGATGTCTGGGATTGATTTTGTTTGACAGTCTTATAGCCTAAATTCTGAATCCAGCAGATTGTTACTGCCGCTAATACTGACCTTTTTAAGACATTTTTCCACTATGGGAACTTAACCACCCATGGAGGCGTTGGGTTTAGGTTCTCTTTGTGTTTCCAGTGCGTTTTACAAACTGGGACACTTTATTTACGTCACAGAAAAGGAGACAAACAACATTTCTATGTGCTGTTTGGTATGTGAGTGGAGGTCAGTTGTGGGACAGACAACAGTGGGGGAAAAAGAGCAACTATTGTTCATTTTCTTTGCATGTAATGACTTTTAAAGGTCAGTTTAAGTAAATTAGGAAGTGCCCCACCTGCAGAAGGAGGTGGTTGGAAAGGAGCAAAGTGAACTGACTGATAGAGAACAGACTGCTGGATGCAGTTAAATCTTTTTGTAGCTTTTGGTCGTGCTGCCCCGCTAAGAAATGGTTAACTACTCGAAATGCTTTAAGATTCTGAAAATATCCGTGCAGTTTGAACGTCGCCTGCCTGTTGTGATATTGAACTTGTAGTTTAAGAACGTCACAACATTTTAGCCAACATGCTGCCAGAATAAACAGCAGGGTTTTCCCTACATCGCTGTACTACCTGTTAAGCCGACCCCTGTGTTAAATTTTTAATATTCATTTAGGTGCAATTTTTTTAATAGAGCCTGAGAGTCCATTTTTTTGTATTGGTTTGTTTGTGTGGATTTATCAGTGATATTTTAACTTTTTTTTGTCTGAATATTCTTAAGAATTAAAATTTCATTGCTCTTTGAAAGGGCATTATTATGCTTATCATTGTATCAGTGGCATAAAATGCTCTTAAAATGGCAATAATATGGAAATAATTTGTGGGACAATATGCCGTCCAACAAGAGTAGTTATTGTGACAGGATCCGTCTCTGGAGTAGCTGAAACTTGGATTTAGTACGGTCCAAGAACAGAACAGTGGAAACAAAGGCACCACTTGTTACAGTACCTACTAGGGCTGCCCCTGACTACAGATGTCCCTATTGAATAGTTGTCATTAATTAAAGCCAAGAGTTGACTAGTCATCCCATGGATATGATATTATTTTAATAATTTAAATTCTTATATGTGTATATTTTATCAGCCGCTTGTTAAATGCTAACGGCAAAAGCAGTAATGATTTGGTAAAGAGATGCAGCAGATGCAGAGTTTGAAAGTGGGTTGACGTTTAGTCGACTACTGGGGAGCAGCCTTAATAACTACAAATTAATTTGAAAGTTGGAAGTTTATAGTGGAAAAGGCCTGTATGAAGTGGATGGGCTGTTGATTACATGTCACTGATGCACATTAAACACAGTTTCTATGTTTTCGCTATTGGTTACATTCAGTCGTAGGGGGCAGACGACTCCATTTGTATTGACACAGCAATCCCTAGTGTACAATATTGACTTTCATTAGCACTGAATGCCAGGTATCAGATTGGTACTCTGTATCGGAAACTGATATCGGAGTTGTTGTATGGGAATCTGGAGGAGGGTTGGATCCCTATTTTTTGTTACAAACTTGCACATTCCTGGAAAAACTGTATTGTGGGAAATGTTTTTATTAACACATTTAAATTCTGCTGTATTTTTTTATATTAATGTTCCAGCTGTGGTGATATCTGACCATTGTAACATGCTGCCATTTATAGAATATATTGCTCATACATCCAGTACACAGGTAGATGTTGATAATGTGTTTTACTTTTTTCTCAACACTATATGGAAACTGAAACACCTGCGATCAGTGTGGGAACGGTCTCTCAGTAACTGGCGGATCACGCCATCCAGTTCTCCAGTTTCATTACCAGACTGCCTGTTGTTGCCAAACTGGCAGATGAAGTTTGGTTGACTGCCAGATTTGGACGACTACCCAAAATTAACCATATGGATGCATTTGGCATCTCAGCGCAGGAATACAATTTGTGAAGCAGCTTTTCCTTCTCTTCCAGTGGCCTTAAGAATGACTACAACAAGGAAACGTTCACCTTAAAGCACAAGATTGACGAGCAGATGTTTCCCTGCAGATTTGTCAAAATAGGTGAGAGCAGATGTGGTTTGTCAAGTGCCCGTGGCTTCTGTTGCTCTTGGATACACGGTGAACGTTTTTACACTGTTTTTCCTCCCTCTCTCTCCATCTTTGCTCTGTGTCTCAGTGCCTCTGATGTCCTGGGGTCCTAGTTTTAATTTCAGCATCTGGTACATTGAGCTGCACGGTATCGAAGATCCTGACGTGGTGCAGCCCTGCCTTAACTGGTACAGCAAGGTAAGCACCCGGCGGTAGCCTGGGGGGGTTACAGCGCAGACTGGAAGCGTGGATTAGAGATCCAGCATGCCTGAATCTGTAATTAGATGGATTAATCAGCAGGCAGCAGAACTTAACTTCTGCAACAAGTACCTCTGAGGTGTCCCTTAACAAGACAGATGTCCTTGAATGAGGCCACTAAAGATTAAAACACGCCTACAGTTTTTCTTTCATCAAACTAGTGTGAAGACATTGAGTTGGCTGCATTTTTGTAAACTGGTATCTTAGTTTAATTGCAGACAAATCAGAAATTGTAAAAAATGATTTAATTCATTAATTTGTCATCCCATGCTCCCAGTTTCAGTCCCTTTTTATAAATTCAGCCGATCAAGATGAACTTAATCTGAACTCCTGCCTGTCATTTATTGATAGAGGGATTCACTGCATCGTTACAAATTGCAGTTTGACCCCAGTTCATGTTTGGTACACTTTTCAAGCATTACGTAACTTAAGGCAAAATTAATGCTTTGTTTCTGGGTCAGTTTGTTGTAGTGGGATTGAATTACAATCCTGCAAATAGGTTTTAAGTAGGGCTGGGTTTTCATGCTGATACGAGTTAAGCACAACCTTATTGAACATGTAGTCTCATTCAGTTTGGGATCTCTGTTTTCAAGAAAGACCTGCATCCAAAAGAATAAACAAGCATAGACACACACACACACACATTATACATTTTCACAATAAAGGGATATATTTCCAAATGTGATTGTAAATGCACAAGGTGAAATAAGAGAATGTAACTTCCCATCACAAAGCATGCCAAACTTCTTAGTGCCAATACCAAAGGATAAATCCAGTTTATTACAACTCAGGTCTTATTTTCATCCATCTCAGAATTTATTGGCTATTGTCTGACGACGATTTACCATCTAGGGGCAACAGCCAATGTTTCAAGGCTTCCGGTGCAGCCAGCGGATATCCAGAAAATGGATATCTGCATATGAATGCAGAGATTAAGTTTCCGCCGGTGTGTTCCGCCGCGTTTGCTCCCCACACACACTATTTACCTGCATGCAAGCACACCCACTCAAGGGACTGTTGTCACCTTTTAAGTAGGCAGCTCCGCATTGGTGGAATGATTTTGAGCCCAGATCTATTTCCTCTCCATCGTGCCCCTGCAGTACAGAGAACAGGAAGCCATCCGCCTTTGCCTCAAGCACTTCAGACAGCATAACTACACAGAGGCCTTCGAGTCACTGCAGAAGAAGACTCGGATAGCACTGGAGCACCCAATGCTCACCCACCTGCACGACCGGCTGGTGCTGCAAGGAGACTTCGACGCCTGTGAGGAGCTCATAGACAAAGCCGTGAGAGGTATCGTACTGGACCTGACCAATCTAGAGTAAAACATTACAGGCTACTGCTGACTACTTCAATCTTTCTGTTTTTGAATTCTGAGTTCTGAATGGTACTTTCTGCTTGTGGTGATGGTGAGTTTTGCCACGCTTAATCCTCTTCTCTCCTCGCCAGACGGTTTGTTTAACCAGTATATCAGCCAGCAGGAGTACAAGCCCAGGTGGAGTCAGATCATCCCGAAATGCAACAAAGGTACAAGCGCCCAAGAAATCAACCGAGACGACATGAACAGTGAGACCATCTATTCAAGGGGGAAATATCCCCGATCCGTCAAACATTTCAGCACGCTGTTGTAGCTTTGTGGCCTTGTAGCTAAAGCAATGCCGCCTTCCCTTCTTTTGTTTCTGCCCTCCTCTACTCCTTCCACCGTTCCACCCATTCCACATTATCCTCTCTCTCTCTCTCTCTCTCTCTCTCTCTCTCTCTCTCTCTCTCTCTCTCTCTCTCTCTCTCTCTCTCTCTCCTCTGCGTCATCGCTCATCTTCCACACTCATACGCCATCCTTGTCTCTTCCTTCCGCTCGTCTTCGCAGGTGACGGCGACGACAACAGGCCAGGAATGAGGGGAGGACATCAAATGGTCATTGACGTCCAGACTGGTGAGACCCACGCAGCCAGTGTTATGACTTGGCTGTTTTAGCGACGCTATGACTCATATCCTCCTACACAGACTCAGAATGCAAAGCTCTATTACTGTTTAATCAAATTAACTCTCCCTCCCTCCACCCCTCCCTCCCATCACCTCCAGCCCTTCTTCTCCTTCAAAGGAAAACAGTCCTGAGGGCATTTTCTCTTCTTAGAGCACATAAATCACGAGTTTTTGTTTTGACAGACACACAGCTATTGTGTTTTTTTTTTTTCTGTATCTGCCGACATTGTTGGTGGTGTACTTCCCCGCTGGCCATCTGAAAAACAAAAGCCTGCATTGTGTGTGTGTGTGTGTGTGTGTGTGTGTGTGTGTGTGTGTGTGTGTGTGTGTGTGTGTGTGTGTGTGTGTGTGTGTGTGTATGAGAGAGTGATGCAGTGTCTGCAACTTGTGTCAGGGCTGAGAGAAGGCATTGCCTCCCTCTGTCTCCGTCTCAGGCAGCACACACACTGACTGACTGTTTTGGTAGTAGTAGTTGATAGTAGCAGTCGATACAGCAGATCCCTAATGATTTCTTTGTCACCAGTCCCGTCCCATCCTGATTTGGATCCTTGCTAATTATTTACTGTTTGGATTATTATTTAGAGTGTAGACAAATATGTTTGTCTCAACACAAGGAATGGATTCAAATGTTAAAATGTTGAATGATTCCTTTGTCACCGATAAGGGTTGTGTACCAAAACCCTACACGATCAGGATCTACCGGACCAAATGACAAAGCAGATTTTGGTTCCTGAAATCCTATCACAAACATATTTTAGTGTACTGTTTGTCTGTAATATGAAATCCTGTGTGACCAGGTGAGCCACCATTGTTTCCACACACTTCAGGTTGATTGGTAACATTCTAAAGTTTTTCAGAATACCAACTAAAAGCTAATATGTTAAATTTTAAGTTCAAATTTGCCTTAGCGATAAAAACAGCTGTTCTTTAATGTTGTTGATTATCGATTTGGGCTTCTTTCAGTTTAGGCAATGTACCGTTTTAAAAACTACAGCACACACCCACAGCCATACAAAAACTTTAATTTCAAACTGATGAAAAGTGCAAGAAATACATTTTTCACTCATCCTCAGCCCAAAACAAAGCTATTGTTGATCATTACCAATGACTCATTTAGTGGTTTTTGGCTTTCACAACTAATTTTCTGGCCGTCCTCTTGTTTTTTAATTGTAGCAGTAATGGCACAACTTATTTCCTCCTACACAAGTCTCTGATACAATCACAACTTCCCACAACTTCCATCTGCCTGATCTGCAGTGGCCTGCGTTTGACCCAAACTATGATGTTTTCACTGCAGAGACTAGCAAGCCTTTAAATTAGACACACAACACCAGTGTGTTATAAAGAGGTAGTATATCACAATACATTGTTTGTTGTGTTCTTGTTACAGCACGTCCTCTTTTGCAACCTTGTTACTAAGTAGTTCTCAAGTGAGTTTTGAGAATATTAATTTAAAATGATAACAGGAAAGAAAGTTGGATTCAAAGTAAATGTCCAAAAAAATGAATGCTCAGAGCCCATTCACAGGATTGGAAATATATAAAGCCGGTCACTGTCCCATCTGTTAGTTAATGTTGTGTATAACTTTCTTTTTTGTGTATCAAATACTCCATTGCCCGCTAGTAAAACATTGTAACAGTTTCTGAATTGATACCCTTGTGAGCAGGTGAATTGGGCAGAGACACTTTTGGTGAGGAAAAAGACCCATACAGGTTGCTTTATTAATATTAGTATAGGCCTTTAGAAGTTAAAAAAACAACACCTCCCTTCAGAACAATCAGCACTTGTCACTGTTAGTCATCATCCTTGTAGTTGTAATATGGTCATTGAGGGCTAGCAATTTTGCAAAATTAGGAACAAGAAAGCATTCCCCAAATCTCTTAGAGAGAGTGTGTGTGTGTGTGTGTGTGTGTGTGTGTGTGTGTGTGTGTGTGTGTGTGTGTGTGTGTGTGTGTGTGTGTGTGTGTGTGTGTGTGTGTGTGTGTGTGTGTGTGTCACAAAAGATGTAGTGAAACGGTTTTAGTGTGTGTTAGACCCGTTCATTTAGATATCAGCAAACGCATAAGAATGCTGCAAGCTAAATCTTACCGTGTCATTCCTCTCTGTGTCGATACATTTGTCTACAAAAACAAGTCCTTCCAGAAAAACGCAGAGTTTTTTTGATTGTTGCGGGCAGAAGTCCTTGATTATGCGGCACGTTTTCTTAAAAAATGCAATGGAATATGCGGGATATTTATGCAATTTTATGCAATGAAATTGCGGGAACTTGCAAAAACTCGGGGTTTTCGATGATGTTCATGTCGCGTAATTACGTCACTTCATAATGTTCCCATGGCAACAGGGGAAAATGGCTGCTCTTGTGTGAAGTAAACGCAACATTTTTCAACTTTTTGCTAAGATATATGTGACTTTTTTGCAACGAAAATGCGGGGATTATGAAATAATGCAAGCCCTGCATATTTTGCGCGGAAAGCGGCAATTTATTGCGGCGAAAGTGCGGCGTATTTGAAAAAAATGCGGCCCCCGCATAAATATGCGGACTTTGTGCATTGAATTATGCGATGGCATAATCTCGTTTTTCTGGAGGGACTGAAAAACAGACTTCATCTCAATGAAAGTGTAACTTTAATCAGATTATTCACAGTAACTGCTACTACTGACTCTATGGAAGGTAGAGTGCTTAAGTTTAGCTGGCAGATGGCAATGCTTTCTAAAGCAAATGAGCAGAAGATATTAAATATTGTGCAGCTGCAGTTTGTCCACTTGCTGAGCGATGTTTATGTCCTGCAGAGACTGTGTACCTGTTCGGGGGCTGGGACGGCACACAGGACCTGGCTGACTTCTGGGCTTACAGCGTTCAGGAGAACCAGTGGGCCTGCATCTCCAGAGACACAGAGAAAGAGGTGAGCGGGGTCAGAACACACGATGTCCAAACACAGATACACCAATATATAGCTAATATGTTCCACCGTTGGGTGGTTCTATTTACAGAACCAGATGGCAAGTTAGGTGTTAACCAGAAAACCTTTTATCTTTAGTCAGCTATCATTCCATAAAGATTGTTGAGGTAAAGTTTGCTTGTTAGTAAAATGTATAGTCTTGATCAGTGCCTGAGCAGTATTTGTGTATAACTGTTTTGGTCTCAGAGTGGTCCGAGCGCTCGTTCGTGCCACAAGATGTGCATCGACTCCCAGCGGCGTCAGATCTACACGCTGGGCCGGTACCTGGACTCCAGCGTCAGGAACAGCAAGTCTCTGAAGAGCGACTTCTACCGTTACGACATCGACGCCAACACCTGGACGCTACTCAGCGAGGACACTTCAGCTGACGGGGGGCCAAAGTTGGTGTTTGACCACCAGGTAGCTGGAATCCATGTCCACTTGTACCTCCTTTACTTAGATAGAGGCAGGACAGACTTTTTGAAAATGAAACAAGTTGAAATTTGGCCACTCTAAGTGAGACATATCTCTAATCCTTCCACACATATCGTGGAAATCGGAAACTCATCCTGCTTCCCTTTATTATCGCCCATAACCCACTTTCTAAACTCTCACATCCTGTTATCCTCGTCTCTTCCTGCAGATGTGCATGGACTCGGAGAAGCACATGATCTACACGTTTGGTGGCCGCATCCTGACGTGTAACGGCAGCGTGGAGGACAGCAGGACGTCAGAGCCTCAGTTCAGCGGCCTGTACGCCTACCACTGCCAGGCCGGGACATGGAGCCTCTTGCGGGAAGACTCATGTAACGCCGGGCCAGAGGACGTCCAGTCCCGCATCGGACACTGCATGCTCTTCCACACTGTGAGTCCAGCCTGCCTGTCTGAAAACACATTTTTGGATTTATTCCTGATCAATTTAATAAGATACTGCAAAGTTGGTTGTTAATTATTTCTGTGTTTTCTGTAACAGAGAAACCGCTGTCTGTACGTGTTCGGAGGTCAAAGGTCGAAGACGTACCTCAATGATTTCTTCAGCTACGATGTGGACGGAGATCATGTAGAGATCATATCCGATGGCACCAAGAAGGACTCAGGCATGGGTAAGATTTATCCTCCATCACACAGTTCCTACAGCACACAATTTGGAGGGGATAAGTTTAATATTGAACGATATAACCTTTCCATATTAATCATTTATTGGTTATAAAACCGCTGTGGTTGGTCTGTCAGTCTGATATTGTTCTTTTAATTAAAAACAAATCCCCAGTGGGGGGTTGTGACAAACAAGGAAATTCATAGTCAAGTCAAATTTTAACTCTGAGATAACACAGTGAGTCCAATGATCAGCAGCCTTCTTTTTGGTTTCCTTGTGTGCATTTCCTAGAGTGTAGGAAAACAGACGTCGGCAGGCCTTTAAGAAGACAACAGCTGGCTAAACTGTAACTTCCAACCATCAGCAAACAATTAAATTACTCCCTGTTACTTCCCTGCTGAAGCAGTTCTTTCTTGGTTAAGTATTGTTAGCCTGATTACAGGAATTCAGATCTTCCCACTTTCTTAGAATTTAAGTCAAGTTGTAGGTTTTATTCCAGGTATTGTTCTTTTTTTTTGCATGACTAAGATAAAATCACAAAATCAACCAATTATTTATCTTACTTGTTTGTTTGAGGATGCAGAATTTCAGTGTGGTCATGTAGGGAGGAGGGAGGGTCCTGTAACTTTAAGAAAGTTCACAGAAAGTTAGCCAAAATGCTGGTTTCACTTACATTACCTTTAATATCCTCTGTTATCGTTAACAGTATCAGCCACAACAAACAGATTATTATTAGGCAGTTAGTTACCACTAACTGCCCTGAAATTCCCTATCAGTGAATCTCTAATAATTGCTGTAACCATCATGCTTGATTAGATTTTAACCAAAGGCAGGCAGAGATTTGAAGTACTTCTTAATAGGAGTTGAGTGCTTTGCTTTGGTAACAGTGTCATACAATGAAAGCAACTGCCAAAGTAGCAAAATGCATGTTCTACTCTAATACTGCACAGATGCAATCAGAGAGTCTTCTGCTGCCTAGAATCTGTCAAAATAAGCTTCACAGAGTCACTTTTAATGTGCTCCCATTGCTCTCATGGCAGATTACAGAATGTGAGCCTATTCTGCACATTATTGAATCAGGATTATGGTAACAGAAAAATGTTTTAGTATTCTGTAGCCACAGCAAGACGCTGGCTTCCATGTAAACTAACAGAAATGGGGGACTGCTGTGATACTTTGAATAATAACTGCCTTGCACATTTAAATGCAAGATTAAACAGTTGTTGGGACTCAATACATTTGATTTAATCAGCAATTTAAAGTTTAGTCCAGGCATACTTGATTCTAATTATGTGTGTATGTTATAATTCAGTCCTTTATTACTTTGCTGTTCTAGCTTATTGTTTTTATCCAACACACCCCTTTTTTAGTCTCACAGTTCCAATCATTGTGTGTCAGGCACTGCCACCACCTGACTCCTGCGTTTGAGTGTTTTTGGTGTAGCAGCCCTGTAGCCTCATGAGTATTGTTTAGCTTAAACCTGTGACTCCATCAGACAACAACCTGTGATCGTGGCATCTCTGCTGCTGCATTCAGGGTCTAATGAGCTGTGTGTGTTTATGTGCTTCTCTGCCACTGTCAGAGGAGATGTGACAAATTCTCTGCTTAAAAAGCTCCGGCAGCAGTAAGACACTTCCTGCCCCCCCATCACACAGATTGACTGAGATCTCTGCACTCACAGCTCCACCTCAAACACAGTATAAATAGACCTCCTTCTGCCGACCGCTCACCTCCGTGCTGCCGGAGCCAGGCAGGGAGGGAGAATCTGGGCGCATTGATAATATGGAAGAGAGAAGTTGAAAAAAATCAAACGGGTGTGCGCGTGAAACGGAGCAAGAAAGAACAGAATGTATTTTGGCAGGAAGGAAGCAGCAAGCCCAAACAGTTCTCTCTGCCTCACAGTCAGCGTCACATGTGGATGTGTGCCGGGGCTCAGGGCAGGCTCAGCATCTCATGCTGTTGGTCTTCATGTGCTGACCTTTAACCCCCAACTCTGTGTGGGAGAACGTCTGTCGCCAAGCCGGCTGTCTGTCTGTCTGTCTGATCTCAGCTGGGGGTTTTAGTCAAATTTAGTTAATTTAGATCGTATCACAGTAATTAATTAAATGTTGTCAGTGTTGCCCCTCAGTGGCAGCACAGTGTATTTGAAATTGAATACCTCTACGTTAAAAATAGTTTTAGTATTAGAATGATGAGTCACAGCCGCTGTCTGTCTGGTTCTATGTAGCTTGCCGGATAAATGGCCATCCTGTTCTGTTTTTCTCCTTCTGAGAATGTTCTGAAAAAAGATGATATAAACTATCAGGCCTGACTTGGCAGTGCTTTGCTCAGTTGTGTGTTTTTCTCCCTGCATTGGAAAGAGTATAAAGATGGTCAGAGCTCTGCCAACAAAGAGTTCAGTCTCCATTTAGGGACAGTCTTTACATTTCAGCTTTAAATAAGTACACAACAACATATAGAACATAGGTCTAGTGTTTATAGATATTTTAGTGTGGAAATGTTACGTATGAGAGCTTTAAGAATGGAAACAATATCTATATATAGTGGTATATATGGATATATATAGTTTTTTTCTATATCCATATCACCCAACCTTAATCCAGTATGTCAATATGTGTCAAAAACAACAATAATAAGAATTGATTTTGAACAAATAATCTCAAATTTAAATTAAAAATCTAAATGCTGCAAGACAGTTATAGTAAAAGTGTGGGGGTTTTTTATCGACACATTTAAATTATTCTCCTTTTTCCTGAATTGAAAGCAGCAGAGATAAGATAAGATGTTTCTTTATTGATCCCCCCGTAGGGAAAGATTCAGCTCTGATGCTGAGTCGTTTGAGTGCCGAGCTGCCTGCAGCTTATCATTATTTTCATGCTTCGCCCTCTGTGTGCACAGTCCATGCATATATCCATGCATATATCCATGCAACAGAAGTAGCTGAAAATGGGATGCGTCTTTAACATGTTAGTGTTGTGCTGAACTGTTGGTACAGCATTAAGCTAGATTAAGTTTCTAATAAACAGAGCTATGGTTGAGCCCAGATGTGTCGCCTGTCAGGTTATATATTATAGACAGAGTTGAATTGTACTGAAACACAACAGTATGTGACTCCACTAAATGTTTATTTATAGGGCAGTCTGTTGCAGCTTTCTACAGAATAACTGAAGCCCTAACATACACTGTTTACAATTATCTGTAGGGGTGCACGATAATTATCAGGCCGATAACAGGAAATTATTACGTCATTCCGATAAGTCCGATATCATGACGAATAGCCCCGATAACATATATAACTTTGTCAGCACGGCAGTGCCCCGCTCCCACTATGAGACCTGAATGCCCCGCAGTGAATGCTGCGTTCAAGTGACGTTGGCATAATCAGAAAAACTCTTTCTGAGAATTTAAGAATACCCCCTCATGTCGGAAGAAAACTCGTTAACTCGGTCATAATTTTGGTAGTTGCTGACTTGAATTGATATCCACAGTATTTTTCCACGTTACACATAAACAATAGAAACACAAACTTAAAAAGGACGAAAGAACGACTAGCAAACGTAGGAACAGGGAATTACCGTCACACCGTGAATGCAGCGCAGCGTGCTTACGTTTGAAAACAGACAACATGGCGTCGATTGTGTGGGACTTTTACAAAGTTTCTGAAGAAGACAGGTCGCTTGTTATTTGTAACAAATGTTCCAAGCAAGTTCCACGAGGAGGTAAAAGTAGCACAAGCTTCAATACGTCAAACCTGATAGGTCACCTGAAACATAGCCATCGCTTCGACGGAGTTTTGAAAGCATGTGAGGACGCCTGGGCTGCTGAAGACGCTAGCACAGGGAATTGAACCCCCATCCGTGTAATTTTTGGTGCCTTGCTCCACCCACTGCACTTCCCAGGCCTGCTGTAATAACAGGAGAACAACAGTGTGTGTCGGCGTTTCTCCATCACACCCATCTTAATTTGCATGCTGTTCACTCTCGTCTCTGTCCCTGCCGGGCCTTGTTGCCATGGCGGCGTGTTGCTGTGTTATGAAGTACTTTTTCTTTAACTCTTTTTAACTTTTATTTCAGTGTGAAGGAAGTTTCATTATTAATGGATTTTTTTCCCCTCCATACAAACAATAAGCACTGACCTGGATCACCTGTAAACATTGTCACATTTTTATCTGAACTGAATCAGATCTGCTGGAGTTCTAAACATTTTTATTTCTTGACTTGACCTTCCCTGTTGATTTATCACCACCGTTTTTGCCTCCGCAGTGCCAATGACGGGCTTCACCCAGAGAGCCACCATCGACCCCGAGCTCAACGAGATCCACGTCCTGTCGGGCCTCAGCAAGGACAAGGACAAACGCGAGGAGAACGTCCGCAACTCCTTCTGGATCTACGACATCGCCCGCAACAACTGGTACGAGAGAGAGAGAGAGCGAGAGATAAACACACATCACAGTTTCTGTGATCGTCACAACAGCGACGAGGAGAGAGTGTACACACAAACTCGCAGGAAATACTTTCTCACACAACAGCTCTTTGTAGCCAAGATTGTCACCACAACAGATAACAAGAGAGCATGCATGCAAACAACACACTCACACTCCAACATTTTTACACAAATGTCAAAGCATTTCCTGACCTCTCAGCCCTCCACCGGGGAACTGCATGTTCCCACTGTCTCTGTGACTGTGTGTGCGTGCGCGCACATGTCATGTTTGGATCAGTGGCTGTGAAAGAACAGGCTGCAGCCCTCACTGTTCCAGGACATTGATTTCAGTAGCTGTTCTTGCACTCGGTGTCCAGTGAAATAAGTCAATAAGACACTTGCAGCATTACGTTGACGTGTGCTCGTTCCTCTCTGCTAGGCCTGCGTGGGCGTGTGTGTGTGTGTTTGTTTGTGTGTTTGTTTGTGTGTGTATACATGCGTGAGAAACTGTATTTGTTGAACAGCTTTTCCTTGAGCCTTCAGGAAGTGTTGAGCTTTTTTTTTTTTTGTCACTAATGTAAATGTACTCCCTCTTTCTTGTTTCGGTGTGTGTGTGCGTGTGTGTTCATGCTCAGGTCATGTGTGTATAAGAACGACCAGGCGGTGAAAGAGAACCCGAGCAAGGCTCTGCAGGAGGAGGAGCCGTGTCCACGCTTTGCACACCAGCTGGTCTACGACGAGATGCACAAGGTAACACACACACAGCTCGGACTCGCACACACACTCTTGTTTAGTACACCATCGCACAGATTTCCTGACACTCAAGTAGTAACACTCCAGCTTACAGCTCAGCTTTGTCAGATTTTAATTCATGCTGCGTCAAGTTAACGCATCTCCTCGCGAGCTGCTCATTCACACACCTGGCTTAACTTTTTGATCACAGCTGTTACATCCTGTTGCACCAACACCTCTTTTTTTTTCCCTCAAAGGCATTGAAAAACAATGTCAGTCACACTCCTTACAACTCCTAACAAAGCTGGTGAAGGGCAAGAGCCAGTCAGGCAGTCAAAATGATGGAGATGATTGTGACCACATTTGTGGCTCAAATTCTCCAAGAATTTACAATCATCAGAACAGAAGAAAAAGTACAAAATCAACTATCCATGCATATTTGTAAATGTTGTTTTCTCCAATCCTTGCAATATAACTTCCAAAAATGAAGAAATCAGTAGAATACTTGTCACAAAAAGAAATATTTGCAATATTTTGCAAATTCAAACTGCCCTGCAGGGAACTTTCATTTTGTGTTGATTCTGGCGGCCCCTGTGGTCAAAAGTGGTAGTGTTTCTACTGCAGGCATTAAGAATAACTGTATAGAAATAACCAATCTTCTTGCTGATGGCTTCTTCTTATTATTATTAAATTATTAAGTATTATCTTATTAAATAGTATTAAATTGAGACTGTTTCATAACCATTTCAAAACTACTTGTGATACATTTAAATAATCCAATTTGGAACCAGTGTTATAAGCCCAGGATAAATAAAACCGAACCCCAACAACATGCTATTATCAGTGAGTTGTTGTTCCTTTAGAATTGTTTGATATTTACAAAAAATGATTTATTAGCACAGTTTTTCAGAAAGTATATTTTGGCTTCATTAATCACAACAGAACTCTAGGGTATTAAATAGTTGGATTTTTAACTGTTGGAGAAAAAAAAAATCTCTCATTGGCAATTCTTAGCAACCATCCAATTATCTGAAAACAGTTTCACATAATTAAGCAATATGCATTTTCTTGGATTCACTCGTTTTTTTGTTAGTTTATGAAATATACATTTAGCTGTTTTCCTGTTTGTGTGTATAAAGACACTGAGGAATAGAATATCTAATGATGGTGTGTTTCCAGGTGCATTACCTGTTTGGTGGGAACCCCGGGAAGTCTTGTTCTCCAAAGATGCGCCTGGACGACTTCTGGTCTCTCAAACTGTGTCGGCCCTCCAAGGAGTACCTGCTCCGCCACTGCAGATACCTCATCAGGAAGTACAGGTCTGTAGCTTATTTACTTCCAGCAGCAACACACCACCAAATGTGCTGTGTCTTTTTATTGATGCAGCAGTGTGATATACTGTTATCAGCATCAATACTGACCGTATTAAACAGATGGGGTAGTGCCCAGAAGGGACCAATCACATTAAATGATGAGTCGGAGTCGTTATAAAATTATAACTACTGGATTTTATAAACCACCTTGAACAGTATAATTTAAAACGATGTTGGTCTATTAGCAAAGGAGTGATGTGTAGTTACATCCTCATTTTAACTCGCATCAATTTCACACAATGAGGTTTATAAAGATCCAATAAGTAAAAGGTCTTGTACCAGATAAGTCGTTTGTATCAGCCACTACACTGTTGTCCAAGTATTGGAATCTAGAAAAAGAGCTTTCTGTTGATGGGTTGGTCCAGGTTTACTAGAATAAACTAGAATTGTTCAGATATTTGGTGCATTATGAGGTTAATCCCACATTTGACATTTTTTCCTTGGAAATCTTTACAGATCCCAATAGAAGATCGTAACTCGTAAGATATAGGTTAGGCCAAGTAAGTCACATGGATGACAATAATGAGGGTTCTTGGTTAGTTTTCAGACACTTTCATGTATGTGTTGGACACATTCAGCAACTTCATATCAGCAGGCTATTCATAAGGTTTGTCAGTGTATTTAACATTTGTTGCCATTAGATGTTTTATTTGTTAACAGTAAAAGACCTGATAATGTCATGTAGTAAGGTAATGGAAAGTCAGTTATGATTGCTGCTGAGCTGTGGGATCCTCTCTGCTTTGCGTCTGTTGCCATCTAGTGCTGTTTTATTGTAACTGCAGCCCCACAGTGTGCCTGTAATGTTCACCATCAGTGTGTTTGGACCTGCCAGGTTTGAGGAGAAAGCCCAATCGGAGCCACTGAGTGCACTAAAGTACCTGCAGAACGACCTTTCGCTGACGGTGGACCACACAGACCCTGATGAGACCAAGGAGGTACCCTTCAGTATTAGTTTGGTTTTCATGGCAGGGTTTTTTCTTGGCTAGAGGTAAGAGCTAAATTAAATGACCACTGGGAGAATAAAGAGGAAATAAACCAGAAAGAAAAGGTTTAAAATGTACACATAAAGAGTATAGCAGAGGTTAATAGAGTCAGAGAAAATGTAGATAAAAGACTGGGAATTATGCAGAAGCCCCATTACTCTAAGCTATAATTTCTAACAATCTGTCCAGCTGGATGTGTGTATGTGTGTGTATTCTGCCCTCATTGGTATGCTGCAGCAGGAGCTCCTTCTGCTGTGGCTGTTTGTTTGTTCACTACCGTCTAATGTGAAAGTGTCTCACACAGTTTGCTTTGTGCTTCAGTTCCAGCTCCTGCCCTCGGCCCTCTTCAAGTCCAGCTCTGACTTCATCCCTCTGGGTAAGACCCTGATCTCTGTTCATACAGAACCACATGTGTGTCGAGACAGGAACAAGATTTAGATTCAATTCAGTATTTTTTCACATAAATAAACCCAGCATGTTTCACTTCAGAATGAGTTTAGCTGGTATGCATGAAAAATAATACAATAAATACAATAAAATAATGTCAAGATTCACACAGAGGAGCAGATTTAGCCGAACTGCTAACATGCTCATGTTTAGGAGCTATTATGTGTAATGCAGTTGCAGAGTCTACTGTACGTAGCTAGCTGTACCTTTTATTAAAGGAAGTGTAGTCTCAGTATGTAAGGATGCAAGTTAGTTTTCTTATTGAAGGTAGAAGAGTTGCACCACTTACTTTTTCTCCACCAGAATAAGAAGTCACTGTCTCACTCTTGTTGTGTTATCGTCACTGTTATCCTCCATCAAATGAATCATATATTGAAAATCAGCGGATCTCTCCAGTTGATTTTTTTTTACACATTCACAGCCGTGTAAACAGCTCATTAGTGCTAGCTTCTGTCAGTGTACAGTCAGAGGGATTAAATCAGCATAAACACCATCAGAGTCCTCCATTCTGCTGTCTCTAGCACCGTGCTCTCGCTGGATTAACTGTTGTTTTTCTGTCTGCCTCTGTCCCTCTCCAACCCTCTCCCCAGGTTTCTCAGACGTGGACCAGACGTACGCTCAGCGGACGCAGCTCTTCGACACGCTCGTCAACTTCTTCCCGGACAGCATGACCCCACCCAAGGGCAATCTGGTAGACCTCATCACGCTCTAGCCCCTCCCACCTCTGACACCCCTCCTTCTCTCCTCCCCCGTCACCTCACCCACCGGACTGACTGAACACCTACCCATCCACGCACCCGATGGGGACGGAGGAGACAAGAGGCCAGTTATTTTTCTATTCCTGAACCCCGCTGATGGGATTACCCTTCACCTGGAGCCTCCCTCTGTCACAGTTACCTGACGGTGAGGGTCGAACACACACACTTAAACAACACTGTGGTATTGGGATACGAGCAAAACTCCACGACCTGAGGGGTGTGTGTGTGTGTGTGTGTTTTTTTCCCAAAATATCCCTTTGGTTTTCTTGCTGATGAAAATTACTTGGAGCACGCAAAACCCCTCTAAACTCTGCCAAACATCACTTGTGTTTTTCATCTTCACTTGATTTTTTTCCCCCCGCAGAAACCTTAAGGCCAAAAAACAAGATTTGCACGCATTTGTTTGCAGTCTTTTATTCATAGATTTTTTCTTTTTTTTTTTCTTGGATTTGTGCTTTGTACCCATGCAAACGCCCACACGGTCGACCACAGGCGTCCAGCCACATGTTTGCAGCAAAACAGATGACGTCAGTTGTTGCAAAAGTTAAGTTGAAATTAGCTGGTTGATCATTTATTTTGAAGACAGGACGGTGTGACCATGATTCAGGAAACCACTTCACTCTCCACAGCTACAAGCTCGCCTGCAAAATCTAATGTGAATGTTCATTTTGATGATTTGGTTTGCTCGCTTTTCTGTAACTCATGCCCCTATTTATGATCGTGACGACCTCGCAAAGGCAAAAAGAGTCAAAACATGTAATAGTGTTGTATGAACAATAGAGAGATAAAGTTTAATATATATCTAAATATACCTTTTATATCGGTTTTGATTGTTATCCCTGTAAAACTGGCTGGTAAATTTGGATTTACTACAGGAGACACAAGGTTTTTTTCCTCAGTAATTAATGGATTGTAACTTAATTCTAAGTGGTTAAATGCTGTACAGAATATGTAAATATACATAGAGGACTTTCTTTGCATTGAACAGATTCTGTGCTGGATCATGTTCTCTCTTGTCCCTTTTCATCAAAAAGCCAGGGCCCACATACAGTAACTTTGTGGCTCTGCATTAAATACTCATTACTACTTATTGGGAAGAGTTGAAAACAATCGGTGTGCATGTGCGAATGAAGTGCCGGTGCCAGTAATCCAGTTTGACAATTAAGAGTGGGAAAAGGCATTTTAGGTCTGTTTGTCATAGTGTGTTAACACAATGTTCCTCAGAGTGATGAATTAGTGGGTGAAATATTTTTTTTCCTCTAAAAAATCCCTAATGTGCCCCTGAATAGATTTGTGAAGTGGACAGCAGGGTTGAGCAGAACCGGCCTCGCCTCCGCATCATCCATTACAACCATGTAATGTACAAACCTTTCAGGTGTTACAACTCTTATACCATGGCCAGTTGCCAACCAAATGCCATACATCATCAAATACATTTTTTTAACTAGTGTAAAAAATTAGCGGCATGGCTAAAAAGAAGTTCAGGTCTCCCTCAGGATGATTGACCTTTCATGTAGCAACATTATCAGGTCAAAATACCTAAGTTTCCGATGTTCCCATAGATTTCTTTTAATATCATTTAAAGTTTTAATTTTGCATGGAAAGTGCACAGTTAGCAGTAGGCACACAAGAGTTAGCTAACAGCTAATGTCTATCTGTTGTTCCTGGGCAGTGAACAGTAGCCTCAGCTGTACTTTGTATTAAGTGCTTTTTTAAAAAACCAAATGTAGCATGCTAACACGCTAAACTAGGATGGTTAAAAAAGAAATACCTTTATGAACATTAACATGCTAACATTGTAACTGTGACTTTGTTAGCATTCTGAGGTTAGCATTTGGTTCAGCTGTAGACTTTACTGAACGCTACTGCTCAAATCAGATTTTATTTTTTGTTAAATGTGGCCCATATAAGATTCCAATGTAAACAGGGCACCGTCCTGAAGTGACCTACATGACTGATGTTGATCTAGAGTGACATAAAGGTCACGTGAATTCTGGTACGACTGTTCACACTGGTTACATTGAAGTCCAACCTGTATCTGATTTGGACCACGTGAGGCCCAAACCAACACTGATACATTTATTTAGAACTGCAAACAAACACTCGTGTCATTGGTGTCCTGTTACTAAAAGTTGGTCCGTGTCAGCCAATCAGAATGTAGAATTTTCCGTGGCCATGGTATAAGTTAATTTTACAGACACAAACCTGGTAGCTGTTATTTAACTCATCCAACAGAAGTCTGCCAGACATGAGCCGGTCGTAGACTTTCACACACAGCTGGCTGCCTGAATGCTAGTGGGAAACGATTGCTTTGCTCTTCTTTATCTCCCTTAAGAAACACTATTCAGAGAGGGACAGTGAGTTTTGATCATTCACTTACTATTCTGATAATGCAACACCATACATGGTTTACTCACATAGGAAGAGTGGGAAACGGCTACAGGAGGAAGGGACACGCACCACAAAGCTTCCCACAAACACTAAATTTGGAATGTGTTTCACAGTCATAGGAATAATTTCCTGTGATCTGGTGTCAAAAATTGGTCGCAACATCGCTAAAAAGAGAAACGCAAGACCAGACTTTAGGGTAAAAATACTTGCTGCTCAAATCTTCCATAAGGAGGTCGAGAGTCAGACCACACGAGTAGCCCTGGAGGATTTGCTGTCTTGCTGAAGGACACTTCTGAAGGGAGGTTGAGTCTGGCCGCGGTACCACATCCCTTCTCACAAACCAGTAGCGCTGACCAGCTGCATGCTTTTAGTTAAAGTTGAAAAGTTTACCTCTGCTGCCACCAAATCATTTCTCGGGGGATTTTGAGGTCAGATTTCATTGGTGCTCACTGGTCACTCAAAGTCCCACCATGTCAGTTTTCTTGTTCATCGTCTTCCATGACTCTCAGATGCTAAAGGATTGTTTTTCAGTGGAAATATGATCACCAACATCCCATCGCAAAACAAAAACAGTGTTCATTGGTGAAATGATTCTCTCCCAGTCGACATTCAGAACAACTGTGATACATGAGAACACTGTGTGACGTCCCTGGCACATCTGCTACGACTGTTAACCACAACTTGTACATAATTGTGTAATGTACAGGATCAGCACTCTTTCTAACTATGAGCTCGAAGAACATTGAGGACATCATTAGGATAGTTTGACTGGAGGGGCAGAATTGGGTAGAAAGATGGTTCGTTGGTTGCTATTTAACACTAGTTTGAGTGGAGGGTCACGTCTGTAATCAGAGTAACATTCAGTGTTTACTGAGACATGAACCAGTTAACTTATGAGTTTCTTTAGTGGCAATTTATATTTAATGCACTTATTTAGAAATTAAAGGACCATACTGATGTTTTTCACATTAAATGCCATATAATTAAAAGTAATGTACTGTAGCATTAAAACGAGCCCCTGTAACACATTGCTCAACTACAACCACTGGAGATAGCTAAATGCTACAGCATGTACAGTGAACTGACTCAGTTACACAGCAATATCGGTCTACAGCAAAGTTTACTAGCATTAGCCACCATTAGCTACTGGTCGTACCTAACAAAACCAGACATGATATTCACCTAAACATTTGTGATATGATGCTGAAGTGAAATGAAACCAGCTGCTGTGTAGAAGGCAGGGGAACAACTATACTATGTACACTAAATGTGAAGCTACTGCTAGCAGCCACTTTTAGTTTCGTTAAGCTTAGCATCATCAGTCCAAAGGTTCCAAACTGCCTACTGACCTCTAAATGTCAGGTTTCAAAGGGGCAAACAAACCACACGATTATCAGTTTAAACTACACTACATCTTAGAAGAATAATAATAATAATTGCTGAACATTGAGCTTTAGCCAACTTTAATGTTGCCTGTAAGAAAAGTCTAAAGTGAGAGTAGTTAACCAAGCTTTATGCTGGCCACCCAACTGTGCCTGGCCAACATATAGTCCACTACATAAACTCCTGTAAAAAATTAAATAAATACATTTACATTTCAGTTTTTGTACGGATTAAACAAACCAGATATAGCGTGTTAATCAGTGAGCTTTAGGGGTGATGCTAAGTGGATATTTTTACCTTGGAACCAGAGCCAGGCTAGCTGTTTCCCACTTTTTCCAAGCTTTTTCTAAGCTGAGCTAACCACCTGTTGGCGGTAGCTTTATATTTAGAATACAGGTGTGAAATTTGTGGAAATGCCCGTAATTACTTTCTTTCCAACTGTTCCTTTAAGGATGCATGGTCTTTAGCCAGAGTTTGCTGACAAAAAACAAAAAAACAAGTATGGTCCTTTAAGTGTCAAACCCCTGTGTGAATGGAGATGTTTGATGCTGTACACTGAACGCAAATAATGTACAGCCCCAGCCTCACTTGATTTGATAATAATAATAATAATAATAATAATAGTAATAATAATACAGAGGACTTTCCATTAAGTGCACTATTGTATAAAATGTCAGATCCCCTCAGGGTGTTGTTTACTGTGATTGTGGGTCCTCTGCTACTGTACCTATCATCACTGTAAATAATCTCACTGGTGTGTTTACATAATCTGCCTGCGTTTCACTGGAGACGAGTAGTTCCCATCACTCCACATTAAAGTTATCTCGCACAGTTTAGCATCAGCAGGGAGCGTCAGAAGCGGCCTGCTGAATTCAGCACGTGTCACGATTTACCACGATAGAGACGTTGCTTGATAGGGTCCCAATTTTTTGGTCGTTTTATGTTCATTTTGCTGGAGGAGGACGATGGCGTGTGTCTGTTCCTGTATATTTTGCCCACATTTCTGCTGCCCTGATACCGATAAATGGAAAGATCAGTGATTTAAAAAAAAAAAGAAAAGAAACAAGACACCAGAGCAAAAAAGAAAGGTTTAGAAAATGCTATGTGAGGGATTATTTATGATTAACCTTTAGGTCTCCTCCTGCTTGCCGTAGCATTTATTTTTGTGCCAGAAGAAAGCTGTGTTTGAAAAGATTAATCGAAAGCACCTTTTGTAAAAAACAAAAAAACAAAACACACAATGCCAAATACTACTTTTTTTTGTTGCTGTTTTAGGGTTAATATCCTCCACGCATCAGTGTTTGCTGGATGGAATCTTATTTTTGAATTTGTTTTATTTTGTCTCTTTTTTTCCCATCTTGCCCTTCTCCCGACCCCTGGGTGGGACTCAGGAGTTTTAAGGCTGGTACTCTCAGATCAGTGAGCACTACTCTGTGGATACAGTGAATGTGTAGAAAGCCTTGTAGTATTGCATTGTATGTAATGTATATAATGAATAAAGATTGTATTTTGTTCAGGTTTTCTTAACTCCTGTCTCTGTGGTGTTTCTGCCCCCTGGTGGCCGTGTCCAGGCGTTACTGACAGCTGCAGAGAACAGGAAAACTGCAGAACCAAAGTGGAAAACCTTCCTTTATTTGCAAATCTGAACAAAAGAACAACAAGACCGCCGAGACGATCGACAATTTACAGCTTCCAGTGTGTCAGACCCCTGTTGTTTGCCTTCAGCAGCAAACAAACCATAAATACATAAAATACTGGTAACGTACTTTGGTGAAAATGGCAACAGCTATAATAAAAGTGAGATTGTAGACACACAAACACAAAAAAAAAAAAAAAGTTGGATGGGAGTGCCCAAGGTGATGGATTCATTTGTGTATAAGTACATATATATTAACTTCTTAATTGGTTTAAAGGGAAGTAAATTATTAAATTGAACAGAATCCAAAATAAAATAAACAAAAAAATGTGCTCAGGTTCTGCTGGGAGGGTTTGTCACATGACTCCCCCCCTCCAGCATCAGCAACAGTGAGAAAAAAACAACTATTTACAGTGTTTGCTTCAGAGGTGACATATCGGCTTTAAAAAGTCCAGTATTATTCTTATTACCAATATTTGACTGATTGGGTTGAAGCATTTTTGTGATCTTTCTTTTCAAGGAGAATCACTTGATGCAGCTGTCAAAGTAGTAGTCCTGAAAAACTTAAATCCCAATAGAATTAGAAATGTTTTGGGTATTGGCTTCAGAAAAAACTAATTTCAGTGTATTTTAAGGATAATTCTGCTTTATTACAACCTGGCTGTTATTTTAGTAGTTTTGCCATCACTCCTATGAGTAATAACTATATCGTACAGTCCCACAGGGCATTAATCATGAGCAGTCAGACACTTAGTGTTTTGGTAATTACACAATAATGAACCATTAAATTTAGCTAGTTACTTTAAAGATGTTTTCATTAGTTGAGTTGAATGTGACTATAAGAAGGATACAACATACCACATCTCCTGGTGAAGTTCAAAGTGTTTACTTCCTGTTTTGCTGTTGTTATTTAACTCTTAAAGCTGCAGTAGGTCATTTTTTAAAAAAAAATGTTTTGTCATATTTGCTTAAACCTTCACTATATCCTGACTGTAGTATATGAGACAGCAAGAAACCACCGGGCCTGAACGAAAACAACCAATCAGAAGTGAGAAAGATATAAAGACGCTATTATCACTTGTGAATCATGAAGCTGTCGAGATTTGCAATCTTTGTGTAAGCAGACCTCACAAGTCCCTTTTTTGAAAAGGGTTCATATTAGACCTAAGGTATACTTACAGCAGTTGTGTGCACATAATCCCTGTGCAATTAGGGATTATTGGAAACTGTTATGGTGGCTCAACTTCAGTTTTACCTCCAAATTAAGTGTCTGAGATAATCTGGCTAATCAGTTGGGCTGTTTTTGGCCTGTCTAATCGTCTGACTGGTCATATTTCTTGCCTCAAGCCCAATCTTATTATAACTGATGGAAACATTTAGGAAAAACCACAGAAATAAGACCTAAAATGTAATAAACCAGTATTTTACATTGGGTTTCAAAATGAGGCATTTAAATAATGTGACTATGTTTTAATTAAAGTTAAAGCTCCTTGAAAACACGTGATCAATTGACTTTTCTTTTAAGCATACTGAGCGTTATCCTCCATGTATGGTAAGCCAGAGGGGACAAAAATAAAGACGTGCTTTTAAACAGTAAGAGCCTTTTCCCTTGATTGCTGTGCAATCACATGGTAACAAGAAAGTCAGGGTCACATCAAGAGCCAAAAAGAGAACACAACACAAAATATACTTGTGATATGCCCCCTCTGGCTTTCAATACACCCTTGAGTCAATATGTTGCATTTGGGCTTAAAACCCTTCATTTGTCTTATCTCTGTAGACCCATCTGCCATAAGCAGCGTCTATGTGGACATTCAGCTCCCTCACAGCCACACTCACTAGTGGAAAATCACCAAGATGCTTTGAAGAATCCTGAGGTCATCTATCTAAGTTAGTAACTCTAGACCTGCCGAGGCAGCTGACGTTGCTGTCACCTCTCTGACATTCCTCCGGACCAAAGCCATCTGTTAACATCATCACCTTGCTCTTTCTCACTGGCAGAAAATTACATAAAAATACTCTATTTACAGGCGCTTGTGTACAACTCAGCTCTTTTTATGAGTACAATAAAAAAAAAGGCACAATCCTCTTAGGGTTAGGGGCACTTTCTGAGTTTTTAGAGTGAGAAATTTTGAACTGTGCTCTGTAGGCAGTCACACATCAAATATTTATATAAAAACTACTGTATAGGCACAACAGTGAACTGATTTAGTGGACGTTTCCAAGGCCACTGTGTATTTCATTGGTACTTCATCCCCAAAGTTTTTATCCTCATGTCTTTTTCATACCAAAATACAGTAGAGAGCAATCAAACAGACCACCAACATATATAATATGGGAGCTTGTTTGTTCTATAGGATGTATTTCTTTGTGTGGAGGTCTTCTCTGGCAACAGGGACAAGAATCCCAGGGTCAGGAGTGTGAGGTGAGTGGGCAAGGCTGGCATTGAGCAAGAAATGTGGAGTCTTTTGTTTGTTTTGATGCGATTGGACCTAGGCAGGTCCTGTCGCCGTCGTCCTTCCTCCTCTCCTCTGTCCACGGTCTCTACAGGTGAGTGTCCTCCTCGTCTGGTATGTCCTCCTTCAGCAGGTTGTCAAAGGGGACGAGCCAGCTGTCGTTAAACTCCCCGTTCAGCGCTATCTTCTTCTCCTGCATCTCCGGCTGCACCTCCATCACCTCCAGCGTGGGGTTGTCGTGGTAACCGTTCTCCACCGTGTGCAGCTCTTCCGTCAGGTGTTGCTGTAGGAATTAAAGGGAAAAACTCTCTAAAAACACTATATTCATATTTATTCCATTTTGCCCTTTTGTTTTGAATGTTGTTTTAAAAGTGAAAAATAAGATTTGTTGAAGTTTAAACGCCCCATGAAAAGATTTCTTTGTTCTATTTTGGGGCGTAATCCCTGTTGAAACAAGATATGAGGTGAGAGTCGGGCCATAATTCTGTAAACCAAGGTAATAACAGGGGCAGTTGAGATGTCGAGTCTCACCAATAAATATTCACTGTTTTCCAGGAATTTAGATTTTTCCAGAAAATATGGTCTCTATGGTAAGAGCTCTTCAAACATTGACATGAATTAATGTAATAACTCACTCATGAACACTGCAAAAATTTACATTGACGTTTACGTCAGATCCTATTTTTCGAACTTCAACACAAAGTGTCTACTCTTAATTTAATTAAACCTTTCAAATTCTCATTACATCCTTTCTACATGCCTTTCTTACCATGAGTTGTGTGTAAAAACTACACATTATAAACTTCTTATTTAAAACACAAAACTTAGTGCATCTAACATTAAGCACTGTTGCAGAATGTTATTACCAATGCCAAACCATACCAATAGTATGCTAGCCTCATATCTCCTGATTTTGATTTGTTTTTGCAATCACAGAGTGCTGCAGGAACGAGTCCACCTACCTGGTTCTCATTGTACGGCTTGCGGTGGTGAGAGGCACATACAGCCAGGATCACGATCATGATCAGCAGAGCTCCGCAGGAGGCCAGGATGGCTATCAGGGTTTTGTTATCTGTCGGTTTCTTTAAGTAAAAAACACAACAGAATGACTTCACATTTTAGTGCCTGTTGATGTGGAATTTGAACCACTAGCGTTGCAAGTGTTAACACCATCCATATATCAACCCTTACCTTGGTGATATCTTCGTAATACATGGTTGCCAGGTTGGTTTTCACTGTAATATAAATGTCAGTTTAGTATAGTTTATACAATATTCTGTTTAACTTTAACCTGAGAAAGCTACTTTACCTTTGCCATTTATCGCCACATACTCGAACTTTTGCTGACCGTTATGGTGATACCATATCAGGGTGCAGTTCCCTTCTTGCATATTCGCCATCAGTCGTCTGCACACCTCCACCAGATCTTTTTCTTTTGTATTTATCTATGTGGATAACAAATAACAAATGCCACATCACGCATTTGACTTTTGTATAAATAATTCACAAGCCGACAAGACACCACCAAGCCTCCATTACACTGTCGGAGTTTGGACAGGAAGGTCAAAGGTGGCAGTTGAGGTCATATCTTCCTGTGCTGTGATGTGTGGATTATTTCTGGCACATTATGGAACAGCACAGCTGCAGAGACAGTCAGGGAGAGGGTGAGTATATGAAAGAGGTGTGGGAACGTAGGAAACAAGTGAAAGGCAGGAACAGTTCCCACTAAGACACTCTTTCCACCCAATGACTGGAATCCCTTGTTTTTATTGCATTCTTCAGTGTTTCCTGTCCTGCTGCTGGAAACACACCCAGAGCCTCCACCAGCTTTGATTCTATCACATTTTTAACAAAATACTGTACTTTTACATCACTGACTAGTTTAAAGGTTGTGTAAAGTGCTTTTATAATTTTATGAGCAATTAATCATCAACTAAATCTTAGAAGGTCAAAACATTTGAATTTCTTACAACCTGGGTTTTATCTTTGCAGGTTTTGTTCGTCATTCCTATCCGTTACATTGTCACATTTTACCCACCGAGTTCATCCATGAAATCTACCATGCAGCAATTCTGCTACACACCACTTTACAACAGGTGCATTAGAGCAACTTTTTCATGTTAAGGTTCCTTACAGTAGATGCACATTACACCATGAACTCCCAGTTTGAGAGGATTTTATCTTAAGAAATCCGCTATGTGTATAGTTTTTTAAATTTCTTTAATTATAGTTTTGATTTCATAGTCAATCAATTAATCAATATCAGCAAGAAAGCACTGATAAACCCGCTGTACACGTAGATAGCAGCCAGATGTTGTTGTGCTGAGAGTGAGAGCTGGATTTAAATGTTTCAGGTGGCCAGAAAGGCTATGTCTGATGGATGTGTACACATAAGCTACTGTTTAACATGGTGATAATGTGTTTGTGTCGTTTTCACAGATTGTTCTGCTGCCCTTAAAAAACTAATGTAGCTTTTAACAAATATATAGTTTATTTTTTAAAGGATCTAGTGGCACCTATATAGCGGTGTAGTTGCAGATTGTAACACACTCTCAAGGGCCATTTTTTTGTTTGTCCACTCTGGGCTACTCAACATGGCAGTTTAACATGGCGCACCCTATGGAAGGCGACCGAGGCATCTGTAGATAAAAACGGCTCATTCTATGGTAACAAAAACGATTTCTGCCAATAGATCCTAAATGTTACACACTGGAACTTGAAAAAAGTGTCATTTAAAAAAACGTGGACTAGTGAGTATTTGTGGCAGCAGGAAGGTGTACGTGGGATTGAAACAAAACTAAACACAGCGTGTGTTTTGGTAATTAAGGAATGTGACCCAGTGCAACAGTGTGGCTCACTGATGTGTTTTTAATATTTTTTGAACAACAATGGAGCTCCATGGCTCAGAGGAAGAAGATCAGGCTTTGATCCATACACAATACCTGTTAGCAGATACATTCATTGTTGCTTTTGGTCTGTAGCCTATGTGAGATTTGTTGCCAAGCAAAATGCAGAACACCATCAGCCTTTGTCTTTAAAGCTACATCTCTACATTTCTACCCTGTTTACTTCCACCACTGATCTTCCACTTATGCTTTGGATTAGTGCTAATCTACAATTTTACATTACAATCTTAACTGGTTACTTTGGATAGTAATTAGTTGCTTCATTACTAATAAAGCAACTTCATTATACATTTAAAAACATGCTAGTACTATTTTGTCTTTGTATTAAAGTTCCCCTCCAGTCAAAAGGTGTTTCTTCTTGTGCAGAGTTTGACTCTAGAAGGATGTTTTCACATTCATCTGCTGAAAGTGGAAAGTTTCTCTGAGCTCATTGAACATCTGATATTAAGGGGCGGGGCCTACCAGCATGATTTGTGACATCACAAATATTTTAGAAGTCAGTCCTGGTCCAGTATCAACTTGTACAGTGTGATGCAGAAACTTGAAGCCACCAGTGCACATCCACTGAGAATGGACTTTACAGTGAAGTAGGAGACATCTTGTGTCCAGCTGGAAAACTTCAACAACATTTGCATATTCATAGATTCTACCTTTTAATGAGGTAGAAGGAGGAGATGACTTTTTAAGGATTTTAATGTGGAAGTTATACTGTTTGTGTGGAAAATATAGACACACATTATTGTTCCAAGCAGACTTTGTAAATAAGTCTTCATTCATGTCTGGAGAAGATCTTTAAGAAAGCTAAGACTGAGGCACTTAGGCAACATTCGGTGCTTTGCACTATACAATATTAAAAAACAACATGTCTTATTGTTCTTATTCTCCCTGCAGGATGTTGCACAACTATCTGACATCTACAAACTGGAGAAACCTTTGGGAGGAGTGGGAAGGGTGTGGCCCTGCCTCCCATGGACAGGACAATAGCAGAGGCTTGATGAGAGTCAGAGCAGGAACTGTGTTTGTTATCACATGTATTGTTTATGTGAATAAAAATAGTCTGAGGCCTGTAACAGATTTAAAGATACAAAAATCAAAATAAACCAAAGTCTTACCTCTGTGCCGCTGTTCAGTGAATACTGCAGAAAAAAAGTCAGAAAATGAGAATGTTAGTCAAAAAGCATCGGTGGCTCTTGAGTCTTGTGTACGTTAATGTGAAGTAAACACAAGCCTACTCACTCTATCTGCACCCCTTTGTTACATGTCTTACCAAAAATGTGTAATGCGGAGCTGCCGTGGTGGGTATGGTGAAGGTAGGGAGCTTTGGTTTGAGTGTGGAGGTGGCTTGCGGAGACCTGGTTTCAGCTTTGGTATCTGAGGCTTTGGTCTCTGTTGCTGTTGGTCCTGCCTTGGTCAGGGTAGAGGGGGCGCTGGGGGTCACCGTGTTCTCACCTGGCATCGGATGTGTCACAGCATTCGGCTTAGTACCTTCAACTAGAAATAATATGACGACAGTCAACATATCCCCAGATAGTGATATACACCCCTCTGAGCCAATCAGTGAACACTGTATCACTTTTTAAAGCTGTTTAGCACACTAGTGAAAATGCTAGAATGCAAAACTAAAATTATCATCTCAAATTATCTTCTTTATCTTGATACAACCACCTGATTAAGTTACATAAGAAATACTTTAAGTGACTTTATGTATGTAGAAAATAAGATTATCTAGTGATAATCTAACTTTATAAGTAATAAATCTACTTTCAACAAATGCTCCTTTAATAAGCTTAAAATGTATTGAATACAGCAGTACAGGGGAGTATATAACTTTTCCATTTCTATTTCTATTTCTATTAGTTGAATCCATAAGATGCAATTGGCTCACACTGCCATCATCAAATCACAAATGAGAGAATGTCTTTTAGAAGAAGACTGAATGCTTCCCATCCACTTTGGAGAATCTATGGCAAGGAGTATTGACATTTTTTTCATTATGGAGACTTTGTGGAGGACACCTTACTTTACGTTGGTCTAGGAGCCAGGATGAAAGGAATTTTCATCCTGGCTCCTTGGTTGTGTGGAGCCCTGGTTTAACAGGACGGTAGCTGGTTTTCTGTTCTTACAGAGTTGCACAAATGCCAGTTGAGCGCGCTTGGTAGCCGGTGGAACCTCGGCCAACTTTCCTGTACTGAGATATGCTATGTGCTAGGTTAGTCTATGAGAAAAAGACAACCGGTTTTGAAGACAGTTAAAAGATAAAACTGACACACATACAGTCACTCTTAAGTTAGCTAATGTTAGCAAAAATGTTAGCTAACTAACGATTGATTATAGATTAGTTAGCTGGTTAGTTAGTGTTTTGCTGACATTAGCTAAGCTAACTTAGATGTCACTATTTGTTACTTTTATCTTTTAACTATCTTCAAAATATGGTTGTGTATTCAACATAGCCTAGCTTATAGCATGTCCAAGTACAGGAAAGGAAAAAGTTGCCTAAGGTTCTGACCGAGGTTTGCTCAACTGTTATTGAAGAGCACAGCAAAACAGGCAGGACTTAGCAAGGGTCAATTTTGTCTTAAAGTCAGCTTTAAGCTGAACGTACTGGTAATATAGATGAAATGGTGTATGCTTAATCCTGCACATTGTCCCTTAGAACTAAAAAAAAGATAACTAGGAAAAGAAAAGAAAAGGTGAGACTGTCTCCTTTGTCCTTATGGAAAAACAAACCTGTCACTCTCCCTCTCTTTAAATGTTTGGTCGTAAAAAAAAGAAAGACAGGTTCTTCCATAAATATTAACAAGTGGGTGACAAGTCAGGTGTGGGTATGACGCAGGCCCCTCTGAGACAATCAGTGACAATAAGTAATTTGGTCTACAAATGTTTTACACTTTGACCTCTTATTTTGGCCAGTAGGTGCAGTCTTTCAAACGCTTCATTCCTTTAAGTTTATTCAAAATTGGACGTGGAAGTGGTGTTTATTTATAAAAAGAATTGTTCTCATTTGTAGACCATTTCATCATTATAGGTTATTCCGTGTTATTAGTTGAGCATTTGTTTTCTTTTGGTTTTTTTTTCTAGGCTATATTTTTAAGTTTGAAATAAACCTTCAATCACTAAATTCCCCTCAGGTGTGTTATTTTAATGTTTCTATTTAGGGGTTTCACAGGGGAACTTACCTCCAGTACTCATCTTAGAAGCAACGATGGAGTGAGCTGTAGACTGTTGCTGTGGTATATGGGAACTGGGTTGGGTTGTCCCCACATTGTTTTGGCCTGTATTGGGTTGAAATGTCCCCACACTGTGTTGGGCTGTATTGGGTTGAGTTGTCCCCACATTGTGTTGGGCTGTATTGGGTTGAGTTGTCCCCACATTGTGTTGGGCTGTATTGGGTTGAGTTGTCCCCACATTGTGTTGGGCTGTATTGGGTTGAGTTGTCCCCACATTGTGTTGGGTCGTATTGGGTTGAGTTGTCCCCACATTGGGTTGGGTCGTATTGGGTTGGGTTGTCCCTACATTGGGTTGGGTTGTATTGGTTTGGGTGGTCACCACATTGGGTTGGTTTGTCCCCACTTTTGGCCCAGAGCTATTATTGGTCCGTGTTGTGGTGGCACTGGGGGATGTCACTGAACTGACACTAAGTGGGGTCATGTCCTTTGTTGTTCCGGGGGTACCAGCAGCAGGTGTGATATCTTTCACCCCAGCAGAGGAGAGAGTTGTTGGTGGTTGACTAGTAGTTACTGCAATCGTGGTGACCTCAGTAGTTGGTTTTGTATTTGCCTGTGTAGTTTTTTCCTTACTGGCAGTTGTAGCTGTTCCAGGTGTACCACCAGTAATTACATTTGGCTTGGACGTTGATGTATCTACTACAGATGGTGTAGTTACATCACCTGAACAAACGCTGTGAAAAAGGAAGCCTAAGAAGGAAAGAAAACATGATTACAGCATGCTGCTAAATGGGAAGTATGAAGAAAAACCAATCAGTAGCAAAGATTGAACTAAATCTGCATTAGAAGTGGGGTCAGTCAAGCTGGAAAAAGCTGATTGTTGAGTCTCATTCCCTCATAAAATACTAACTTTGGTTTATGGTAAATGGGAAACAACACAACAGGTGGTGTCATGCTCCCAGGTTGTCAGATACCTGTTTGATGACCTGGGAATGCGACTCAACAAACAACTATATTCCTCCAGAATGACTTCAATTTCAATTGATTGTTCTTGGCCACTTGGGGGCAGCACAGCAAGCTGACAACACAACATTGACATTATCACCTTATGAAGTAGCTATGAATGTGTTAGCCAACAGTTGTCGATTTACACACCGAGCAGTCATGGAGCATAAGCATTAATTTGGAGTTTCTGGCTTAAAGTTGAGTTTGATAGAGCACTCTGAGATCTAAGCTATGTCGACCTCTCCTCCCGCAGTTCCTGTGGGTCGGACAGCTAAAAGCTTCGGCCACAGTGCTCCATCTTCTTCTGTTTCTCTATTTATAGTGACCTGAACAGGATGCTGCACACAATAAACTTGGAAGCTCCACACCCATGACCACGGTCTGTTTGGAGTGCCCCATGAACAATCCTCGCCTGACTCCATGGCCAGAGAACAATGGCCTTACGCATACACACACACCCCCGCACTTTCTGACCACCGCCCACCTACAGTACGTCCAGACGCAGTCACTGGATTTTCAGCATACATGTGTGGTGACATAGCCACTCTATATGTGCATGTGCACTATTTAATATTTCCTCAATGGACCTTAATGATGTTTTAACACACTGAAGCTTGTTTATTGCAAAACACATATATATATTACCTTATTGCCAGTCATTTTCTAAACCATACTGTGTTCTTAACATGTAAGCAGCCAGTGATGGTGAAAATTAACTTATAGAGGCTTAAAACTCACTTGAAATAAAGAATTCATCATCCTGTCTACTAATTTCATTGAAATCTGTATGGCTGTACCACACATAACCACAATGCATAATGTTCACTGTAATATATCGGGTACTTCAAGCTAATTTTAAGCCTCAGCATGTAGATTTTCTTAATAAAGTATGCAGTATGTGGTCGCTGGGAGTTGTTCTATGTTCATTTAGTGTAACCACTAAGCGAAAACAACAATGCATGTACATTCCCTGTCAGCTGCTCACTGTGCTCAAACTGCAGGAAATAGTGTGTTTGTTGGGGACTATTTTCAGTGGTGGAGGAATCCATATTTGGCGCTTTAGTGAGTATTTGTGGCAGCAGGACAGTGTATGTGAGGTTGATTCAAAATAAAATACAGCATGTGTGTTTATGATAATGAAGGATCATGTCAGCCAGTGTTACAGTGTGGCCCATAGATGTGTAGAAGTTTTTGGATAATGGAGCTCTATGGCACAGAGGAAAAAGATATATGCATTTTGATCTTTTCATGGTGATTTGTTTATATTAAGATGAATTCTAATCAGATGTTCAATGAGCACAGAGAAACTTTCCACTTTGTTGATGAACATCCTTGTGAAAACATCCTTCTAGAGTCAAATCCTGCACATACATCATTCAAACAGCACACTGAAGGAATGAGAAGAAACACTGATTTCTGACTGGAGGGGAATTTAAGGCACGTAAAGTTCATACACTCAGTACGGTTGAATCAAATGTTCAGCATGTGAGGCTTTGTTGTCGGACAACATAAACCAACAAATATTCTTACTTTTACTTAGAGTATTCTCAGAGTTACTCAAGCCATAATTCCCACGGCATGTGAATGCAGCATTAGGACGGTGTGAGGAGTTAGTAGATAAGAGTCTGTTCTGGTCAAGTGGAGGCTGGTAGAGCCGAGCCTGTCCTATCTCTGTAAGGCACAGACAGATCACTTATCAGCCTTCAGCCTGCAGCCATAAACACTGTTACTAAGAGAGCAACTGTCGAAGTTGTCCTTTGATGACCTGAGTGTTCTATCTAAAGTACATGTGCTGCTCACTGTTTCTTCTTTTTTTACAGCATATAACATCTGTTACATGAGGGCTTTTCCCTCAGTTTGCCAGAGTAACTTGGCAACCTTCACAGAGACCCTGAAGCTGTTCGACCTGTCAGAGTATTTTCAGTCAAGAAACATAAACAGGAGTTGGGTGCTACAGCTGCATTGAATTCGAGGTATCTGAAATGGACACAAAAAGGCAGCAGACATCAGAAAAAGCAGTTTTTTAAATTATGGTTTAATGTGATACGGGTGGATTTCCCCCTCATCTATAGAAGTGGTCAAATGTCCAACATTACATTATTTGAGAGGATTTGGTGGTGTTGGAGTTCAGTGTATTTTTTCACACTGCAAAAAATGGATCTCAAGAAATTAAAAAAAGCCTTGCTTCTGGGAAATGTCTTGGGAATTATTTTTTGTCTAAAAAGAACAGTAATCATGTGAAGCACGTTTTGCATTAGAATCCTGTGTTAAGCAAATATCTCTGTGTCTTAATAAGACATAACAGCTAATGTTGATCTAAATTGAACTAGTAACAGGTTCCAACACTAGTAAGCATAATATCCCAGCAGAGGAACATGATTAAACCAGCTACACAACTTCTCGATTTAGTGTTGTAAATGAAGCAGCTGTTTAAAATGTTATTCATTTAAGACAAAGTCTTAAAATAAAGTTTTATTTTTGACATTTGAAGACATTGTGTTTTATTTTAAGATTTTTTGCTAATTAACAATCTTAGATTAAAATAAGATTCTTAAATTCTTAAAAGTTTTCAGCTTGTAATAAGCACAGCTTAGATCACATCTTTCCGGCTAACCACACTTAGCTGGCCAACTTTTTTTTGTTTTTGCAAGATGTCCTAAAAATCAATTAGTCACTTTCTCCTTTCACATTGCTCTCTCTCTCTCTCTCTCTCTCTCTCTCTCTCTCTCTGTCTCTCTCTCTCTCTCTCTCTCTCTGGCTCTCCCTCCCCCAGGTGTGGCATCATGTTGGGTGTGACCTCTGCTGACCTGAGCTGTCTGAATCATCTGTTTCTTAGCAGGCGACAGCACCCACTGATCCCGCTGCTATCAGCACCAAGGCTGTTTTTACCTCACCCACACATTCCTCACAGGACAGCCTCCATAAAAACACACGCACACACACACACACACACACACACACACACACACACACACACACACACACACACACACACACATCGCCACCTGCAGTCTGTCAAATCCACTTGCCTCCCTCACACAACATACACCCTTTGGTCCCAGTTTGTTTACTTCTAAATTTTACGAGTTACTTACAGCCTCACTCTTATTAGCATAATAACATATTAGAAGTCGGTCTTTACTCACTCAAATTGCATTTTTCATTATAATGTTTTGGTTTATTCTCACTGCTCAAAACTTTGAATCAAGTATTGCAATGACACTATATTGACCCTACAGTGGGCCAGTTTTCAACTGGCGATTTTTAGTGTCGCCTGCCACATTTCCAGCAGCTAAATGAATGCTAACGTTGCTATTTGTCTGATCTGGCTAACTGTCCAACTCGAAAACCTCTCTGACCTACTCCTCAGTCTGCTCATTGCCTCCATCAGTCTGATTGTGTGGAGCTCTGTCACAGCCGAGCGTAGAGCCACTGTAACGCTGTCCTGTTGTTATGGTGTCTCAGTGTGTGACCTGCTCCAGTGGACTGTGTGAGGGTCAGACAGCAGAGGGTGTGAGAACTGACCTGCTGTCCTTTCCCCTGGCTCTTCTTTCTACTTCTTGGCTCACTTCAGTGGCAGGAAACTGGGCTGTTGATTTGGGCCCTGTGCGTGACATCTAATTTGGTAATATTCCTTAACTAAATGGGCTGGAGTTGGTATTCTGCCAGGCATTTCTATTGTTCTCACTTAGGTATACATAATTATTAGTGCCATAGGGATGTTTGTCCACAGCGTTTGACCTGACCTATCCCTATCAGTTCTAAGATCAGTGGTTTGCTTACGTGCAGCGGTAGGAGCACATAATACCTATACATCTTTGTGTTGGGAGCCAGAACCTACATGAACAACCATTTTGGTGTGAAATGCCCTAAAGTGCCACATATGACCTGTCAACACTGGGTGAGACCGTGACATCCTTTTCTTTATATTTCATGTTGATGAGTATCTATAGGTGGTGCTTTGTTCCGTGTCTCCAGGAAAAGTGTAGGTAAAAATATATTGAAAGTATTTAAAAGTCAGATTCTGGTAACTGTGGTACAGCATAGCAAAATCTGACACAAACACTGCATTATTATCAGTTTTTCCTCTGTTTATTCCAAAGTAATCAGAAACCTAAAATGTGTTATTTCCTGCAGAAGAGAGAATCTTCCTGAGTACCAGTCGGTTTCTCAGGAAGATTTTATGACAACAATTGTAACATCTTAAGTTGAATCATTGTTGTGTTATGTTAATCAGAGACAAAGAGAGGCAAGACCTCTGTTTATCAGGACAAGTGGCAGGTAAGTGGCATCCTATCCTATCTATCCTACCATATTTGGCCCATATGTAAGTATGATCTATGAGGGGCAAACTGTGCCACTTAAAGCTGCACTCAGTATTTTGATATATTTATTCATATGAACCACTTTTCTGTTTTCTCTCATCAACATTGTTTCAAAATGCACCAGGAAGCTGTTTTGATCAAAAAAGTCTTGATACATTAACTACAGCCCAATAGATATGGGATTTGAGACCGATACCGTTTTTAGGGAAAAATTCACAGATTACTGATATGGCAGCCAATATAGTGAATTATTGAACTGGAAGAAAAATTGACCATTACGATATGGATTGTGCACCAATCTTGCATCAGTAGGACTACTCAGAACTTAAACAAACAACTAATATTAAAGAATAGTTTGTTGGTTAGTTAAGAATATTTCATATTAGAGTCTGACCATCGGCCGATATTATAGGCCGATGT